ACATAAAACATGGGAGTTAAGCAAACCTTAAAATGTGTTCAGTGTGTTTCAGTAATGATCAGAATACCGACGCTTTTACAGGACGAAGCTCGAGTAAAGCTATTATATTATGGTCCTCTACACGAATAACGGTCAATAGAGATCCTTCGAGATAGATGCGTTCTAGTCATTGATACAATGTAGTGGTGATAATGAATCAAACTGCACCATATTGTCGTTTAATCCTTCTAAGATTCCTCAGTGATGTACAGTATCACATTTCCTTATACTCGTGTTTTATTTCAAATCTGTGGTGTACATGTCAGATGAATCAGTTTAATCATGCGCTCTGTAAATATTTCATGATATTGCTCGATGCCTGAGCAAAGCGTTAAGCTATCGATTTTTAGGTCTGTTGATGTTCGATGTCATACCACAGAAATTATCTAACGCTCTCAGATCAAGTTAACAACTCTTCACATAGAGAAAAATATACATTTCCAATCCTTTAGCAACCACTCCAATCTGTTGTGTAATCAACATTCCCCATACAAATAGTACTTAATATGTGAAAGCCGCCACAAACATTGCGGGCGTTTAATCATTACAGATCATATACACTGTACGTAGAAGACAAGAATTCACACCTTTTTACAGATTACGACTTCTCCTTGTTTCTCTTTGTGCAAATTCATAAACAAAGAATATTATTTCACACCTCATGGTATCCTCTATCGAGAATTTTACAATTCTTGGTTCAGCCTCGAATAGAAATTTTTAACACGAAAAGATGCAGAAGTGTCTTAATTTGAACATAACTTAAATTTCGTGTAAAGATCAAAATGCATCCTTTTAACATTTATGATGTTTTGAGACAATGATCCGTTCAGAGATTGCATAAAAGACACACAAGAGAATATTACCCTTTTACACAATTTCGAATTTGATTGGTAGTGACAAATCATGAATTATTCTGCATCATACAGCTTTCTCTCTTTTAGGACTCGTCAGTAATGCAGTATATGTGAATATTCTGAACCGAGCCTCTATATGAAGCAATACAAACCTAGCATGCATGGTATATGCCCTGATGCGTGGTGGGCAGTATGATTGAATGAAATTGTGTTGTATACATTTTGTTTTCGAAAGACAAATGAAAACTTTTTCACATTGCTGTTTGACACATTTTAAGAAAATTAATCAACAAAAATAACATATTTTTCTTTAAATGTAATACCCTACTCAGATGTCATAATTGGATTCAATATCATGTTTTATTCCTGGTTGTGTGTAGTAATAGTATGAAGGCAACACCGCGACAGTCCCTGATTGGTACGATTACATTCATGTGTACTTGTGTATTTTGTTGCATGTCATCTGCATCCTAGTTGTCTGTCTTTACGCCATAACTGTACATCTGTCTTTTACGTCGTCCATAGTCTGTCTTTAACGTCGTCCACAGTCTGTCTTGAACGTCGTTCACAGTATGTCTTTTACGTCGTCCTCGTATTCTGTCTTTTACGTCGTCCATAGTCTGTCTTTAACGTCGTCCACGCAGTCTGTCTTTAACGTCGTCCTTGTATTCTGTCTTTAACGTCGTCCTCGTAGTCTGTCTTTAACGTCGTCCTAGCAACCCGTCTTCACTGTACATATGTTTGTACTTCAGGTTTTATAACGGCGTCTCAAGCATTCGCCGTCATGTCATTACTGCTGTATGTGTTCCTCTTCGTCGCCATGATTGTGATAATTGTATCCATGGTGCAGGACATCCCCTACCGGAAGTACATCGACCGGAAGTGCATCCTCATGATATTGGCCGTCAGTTCTTTTTCAGCAGGTGAGCAGTTACGGGCATTTCACGTGTCATTGTCTGTATGTGTCTTGTGTACCATCCCCGACTTATCTAAGAACCACATGTTATACTGCTTGAAATAGGACAATCATAATACCTACATTTTGCCACCACAAACCTGCCATATGTTGTATGAGAGTACAGTGGCGTATTTCAGAAAAACAGTATGTAATGATAATTATGTACGCGATTTCGCAGTGTATTGCACGGACTATAATGGTGTGTATTTCTCTGTTCCAGCGAGCCTTGCCATTATGTCGGGGACAGTGATGGGTATAAAGGGTAAAGATTATGTTATGGATCTCCAGCGGAACGAGTACATTGTCTTCTCTTACCGCCAGAGAAGTATAGATATAACAGGACCTCTCAACCTCGGCTGGTCCTTCGTCGTCAATGTTCTTGCTGCCATCTTTACGTTCGCCTCTTTCGCCTTTCTTGCTGCTGAATACAAACTGCTGCCCGAAGATGTTGATCACGAATGTCAAGAAAATGTCTGACGTTTTGTTAGCATGAGGACATAACATCAGTCTTACATAAAGATGAGATCTTGTTACTAGTGTAGCATGATGTCGATTGGTTGAAAGGATATCAGTTGTCATGTGACATTTTGTCACGGGAAAACGATCCGGATGTAGCATTCCGTGACCTGAATATGTGCCATAATACATTGTAAGTCTTGTCTATGGTATCAGTGAAGCTTTGAATGTAGCTCCTGTACATAAGAAGGCTTTCAAGTCTGACGTTCGAAATAAACATTAATGTTCCGTGATTTTACTATTTTCATAAAATCACGTGACGAAGTAGTATTTGTTCCAGTACATATAAGGCATACAGTCAAATGTTTCACGCATGGTGGATCTTGTAACCGACCTCTGGGTATTGTTGGGGGCCATCCAATGCCAGTAAAACATTGATCACTGGTCTAGCTATTAATGGAACTAAATTGTAAGATATAATTCATATTGAAGTACCAATCAAAATACTTACCGATGAATAGGATGGCATCGGGTTTTTATGGACACAAATGTTATTTTTTTCCATTGAGTATGGTAAGTAAATTAAAATGAAGGTAACTACGTGGGTTGTAATTTTTGGCACTTTTGAAATTAAGCATATGGACGTCTATGAAAATGGTTGATTCTCCATTAACTTACCATATTCGATTTTTCAAAAATAGCATTCATGGCCCTAAGCACCTGTTGGCGCCGCGACAATGGATGTTAGAAGTAGAGTTTGGACACAGCACAATGTTTGAATGGTGCGTTTTTGTTTGGCTAACTATGGGAATGATACATATACTAAAATATATTACTTTATACATTTTTACTGGTACATGAACTTTTTACCGAGATGTAATTGAAAAACGCGTTTTATCAGCAGTTTGATTTCATATTTCGAACCTTGTACCTGATGCAACGAAGTAAAAATGTCTCTTTTGACTTTATATGCCACGCTTACTATTTTATCGCTTTGTGTTGCCAAATTGTGAATAAATAATCTCTTTTAAGTGGAAATGATCAGCTGATTGTTTGTATTTATCGACAAGAAATATCAGACATGCCGATTAGTACTCAGAACTTTATCAAAGTGGGACTTGTGCGGACAGCAATTCAGTATGTACTAGAACATTAAAGTGTCTCAATTATTCATACCAATTACTGTAATACTTTAATACACGTTGACAGGACATCACATATCATTAGTAATACGGTACCTAGCGATAGGTGGAGCAATGGAGATGAAACATCTGCCGCCAACCATGTACAGGTAGCTGGGAGAACTGAATGTTCTGCGTTGCTCCGAAATACTAGAAATGAAATAAAATCCCATTTGAAAGTATCTTATTCAAAATCTAAAGGACACTAACAGCTGTAACTTTATTCGAGATTTCATAATTTTTTTGTGATTTGCTAAGAAAGACGAAGCAGTGCAAATACCACTGATAACACCATGATCTACGTTTATTTGGTTTTCAGTACAATAATACCCAACAACGCTGTTCTCGGTATATATGTATTAAATAAAACTCATAGAATTCAAGTACAAAATTAGAATGTACCCAATGACGCGAACGTTTAAAAGAAAATTATGAAATTATGGTCACTGGCGTTACTATAAATCGTTTCGGACTCCTTCAAACATAACTTCGCTGAAAATTACAGGAAAATATAGACAAATTGCAACTATGTCTAATCTGATCCTTGAAAAAAATCTGAAAGAGTACCACCTATAGAGGCAAGTTAAGCAACATTTACACATTTAAGGAAAAACATTCACATTTTGACGGAACTGGAGATGAATTCCCGCTTGGCACTGTCTTTATAATGCTGTTATACAATGTTATATATATGTACATGAAGTACATGTACAAAATCACGTATTTCTCCTATACGACTGGCAGCTGATGCGGGTACTGGCCGACGGTATCTGGTGATTTTATTTTGTTTTCGGTAATATGAACGCAGTGAGATGCGGGCGTATATATATAAGCGATCTGTATTAGGAAAATCAAGACCTCATTATGTTCAAACGAACATCAACGCAGTAAAATGCAATTTAAAATGTATCGAGCGATAGTGTATCACTAGACTGAGAGACAGACAAAGCTCGTCTTCTTCCAGCTTGGCTGTAAACATTTGATGAATTCTGTGAACACAGTCACTGCGCAATAAAATGTTTTCCAGTATCAAAGGAAGGATCGTTAGCTATTTCAAATGAACAACTTACAATAATGTATGTTTATTGTAACATATTTGTAACTTGTACACGTATCACAAAAAAAGTATAAGTCTGACAAATTTATAGACTGACATATCAAGTATAGTCCTGATACAGACGTTAGTATGGGATAAGTCGAAATTTCAAGTTTGTTTTGATTTTTTGTTTGTTTTTGTTTTATGTCGTTTTCGCTGTTTTGATGTTAAAAAATCTAAACAATGAGAAAAAATAATTTGACTTAACGGATTTTACGTCCACTTTTACGGCCTTTCGGGCTTTCAGCAGACAACACACACAAACAAACCAGTGGACTGGGGGTTATTTATATCCTTGTGAGTATTTTTGCATACATTGGCATGTATTCATGCAAACCATCCGAAACGAACGCGCCTTTTATTATTTCGAAACCAGGTGGCGTTAATTATGAACTTCCGGCATAAACAAACGAAACATGGATAAATTTGTAACGAAAAAGCCTAGAGAAACCCAGACCAAACTGAGAAAGGCGCCAACGAAACAGTATAAGCAGAGTACGATCGAATCACTGAAGGTAAGTTTAAAATTCAAAATGACAATGTGAATGCTTAATGGTGCTTTGCTGTGTACATGTCTAGTTATTGAATTCTTAACAAATAGACTAGCGCTACTTTTGTATATAATGATATACAGCTGATATGTAGTCTTTGCCAGCTGTTAACGGTAAAGCTTAGTTGCGTCGGTTTCGTCAGTATTCATATGAAGAAAAAAAAACAAGAAAAAAAGGAGTGACGTGATGTGATTTTCTTTCGGTTATATGATTCCTGCAGTTGGTTATTTCAAATATATATATATATGTAATTATATATATATGTATGTAATTATATTTGTTATGATAGACTATTTATTGTGGAATAAAAAAAAGTGCAAAACGAAGGGAGACACATCTAATATGTTTTTTATGGTATTAAACTCTTGTTACTGGCATCCTATTTCCTTACAAATGCTTTTGAAAAAGAGTGTACTATAGAATCATAGATAATATGCACACCAGCCATTGCAATTGATTATGAAATACATATGCGTCCCTGATTTGGACAAAAAGACAGCAGATATTTTCGAGTGTGAAATAACTGGGAAAACACACATTCCTGTTGTATGCCCTGACCTGGAACCAAACCTGGATCTCTGGCGTTATAATCGAATGGCTGTACCAACAGAGCCAAAGAAATATGCTGCATTAGCAGAATGAGAGAGACTTTATCTAACACTATATACAAATCACAATAAACCCCCTCCTTTTTACACTACTCCTTGTTTCTCTTTGGATTTCCTAAAAAATCGTTCTGAAATTATAAATGCCAAGTATATTGTATATGAACAAATATGACATGTTTGCATTAAAGAGTAAAGCAATGAGTAAATTTAAATATCATTCAGACAATATATACATTGTACATGTATAATCTAATTACACCAAGTATTAAATATATTCTGTCGGTTAATAAGATGCTAGATATCAAAACTGAATGCAATGACTGGTGACTGGCATTGTATATACATGTACAGGTAATAAATTATATTTTGAATAACAAATATATGTAGTTATATAATTACTATCCTGATTTTTTAACTGTTTTAACCTTTGTTTATAGGGTGTTGTTGTGATTGAAGATATCCATAGACTACAAGCCAAACTACGACTGAGCAGTACAACACATGATGAAATGGTGCAATGCTTAAGGGAACTGGGAAAGAAAATACCACCCCGTAATGTAATGAAGGACACTAAAATAGGTGACTACATTTTGCTTATAGTATAAACCTATTTACATATATAGCTATCATCTCTTTACCATTTGACTTACGTTCAATACTTTTGAGAACCAGGAAAATTTGATCTGATTTTACTAAGACGCATCATTCTATGGCAGATTTTATAGTGATACCCCTATACTGTCAGTCCTTGTTCAAATCCAAATAACTTCATACTTTTGTTCATTTTTCAAATTAAAATGTTTTGTAAGCAGCATCCTTTCAGAACTTTCAGTTGAAACATTTATAGAACATTACAGGTGAATGTGTAGTGTGCTATTATTAGGCAACATGCTTTTTGGAGAAATGTTTACTGTTATTATTAGTTTGACACGATACTCATTGACAAGACTAAAGTTCTAAACTTTGTTGTTGCTACCTACAGGTAAAGATGTTAATAAACTAAGGCAACATGAAGACAGCAATGTTAGGAGAGAGGCCAAAAAAGTTTATATCAAATGGAAAAGTCATTTTGAGGTAAGATTTTTTTCACTTTAGAGTTACCTCTCTTTACATCGTGTTGAGTTGGAATATTCTTTGGGTTTCCTGTGACCTATCATACAAGTATGAGATAACATATAGCTATGCTTCGATCCTACTTGACCAATTTAAAAACTTGGTATGTAAGATATAAGCTGCTTATTCCAGTTGTAAATTCATATTTAATGAAAAAATATTATTGCTGTGTGAATTTATATTCCATAGAAATATTATGAAGTGAATACTTGTTTCTTCGAAAGAGGATTATTATATATCATACTTCCACATCATGTTACAGGATTTCCAAGACCGCCAACAGATAGAGGTGAAATGTGATGCTAAAACAGAAAGATTGAGGTCCTCAGGACAAAGACTGTTGTTGGAGTCTCTTGGGGTAAAGGTAAGTACACCTGTTATTTTTGTGGTTGGAATCTGGAAAATAAAGTCAGTTGCAACACTTGATGTAATAATACACTACTTACATGTGGTACTATGATGTTATATCTGAAGTTTTTAACCTTATTCATAAACATACATTGCCTGAACTGAGTTACATTTTTAAATTCAGGAGGACAGCAATTTGCCAGAAGTAATAGAACGAGACACCTTTCATTTCTTTAAACGTTTGGTGAACAACAACTACAGAAGGACAATACGGAACATTGTGTTTACACTGAAACACCAGGAGGATGTGAGAACTCAGGTGTTGTCTGGTGAAATGTCTGTGGAAAAACTAATACAAACGTGTAAAAGATGATTGACATGTGGGAGTATAAGTGTAAATGTTAATGGTGTGTATACATAGGTGGATGTAATATTGTAGGACAGATGGAATACTATAGGATTTGATCACAAGGACCATTACTAAGACACGATTAGATAGGATTTTGATGAAATGTGTTGAAATGTGTGATGACAGAAATATTTATAAGTGTAAATGTATGAATATCAGATGAAATATGTGATGAAAAAAGTAGTAAGTACAAGTATAATAGTTATATGTCAGAAGAAATGTTTGGTGACAGAAATAATTATTACAAGTGTAAAATGATAGATGTTTGAGGAAATGTGTGATGACATATGATGTAAATATTTATGATAAGTGTAAATGTATGGATATCAGATGAAATGTGTGATGGAGGAAGTAATTGCTACATGTGTAATAAGTTATGTATCAGATGTTTGATCAAATGTATGATGACAGAAATATTTATTACAAGACTTGTGTAAGTGAATTGATGTTAGATGAAATATGTGATACAATTATTACAGGTTCAAATGGACAATTATCTGATGGACTGTGTGATGCCAGTGGTAATATTTACCATTTTAAATGGATCCAGGATATATGTGGAAATTGTTTGATGATTGAAAAATGTTGCATAAGAAGAATTGATTTAGCAGGAGACAGAGAAAAGACATTTTTATCATTATGTTAAGAAGATTGCAAACATATCAGGAATCAGATTCATGCATTAATATTGCGTACTTGAACTGATCAATTTGCAAGTTACAGATAAGGATTCCAGTATGGAGTGGCATATTTCATCCATTACGCGACATCCCTTATCACCATTAAAAATGAAATATCTGTTATAGATCAGTGTTTTGAAAATGTGAACAAATGCAATGACATGTAAATGAGTGTTGACAGGTTTTGTACACAACTTCCTGTAATAGATCAACAATTCTACAAGTGATTCCTGTGTCTGTTTCACTACCAAATTCATCTTAATGTACTTTATTATGATCAGACTTGCACAATACAAACAAATGTATATGTAACGGTATATACATACTGATACGAAATTTGAAAGTAGTTAATAGACTTCAAATGGTATCACATAATTTTCCTCCTTTCAGTCTCCTAATTGATAAAGGAAAAAAAGTAATGTTCTGTAACTTCCCTAATATGCAATATAGTATCAGGAAAGCTGCTTTGATTCCCATCTCCAGAACAGAACTCCACTAGAAGTTACCAATGATTCTAGTCTTTTGTACTGAACAACACTAAAAACTACCAATGCTCCAGTCTTCTGGACAAAGCTACACTTTAAAGTACAAGTGATTATAGTCCTTTATACAGAATTACACTTAGAACTACCAATGATTCCAGTCCTTTATACAGAATTACACTAAAAAAATACCCATGATTCCAGTCCTTTATACAGAATTACACTAAGAACTACCAATGATTCCAGTCCTTTATACAGAATTACACTAAAAATACCAATGATTCCAGTCCTTTATACAGAATTACACTCAGAACTACCAATGATTCCAGTCCTTTATACAGAATTACACTAAGAACTGCCCATGATTCCAGTCCTTTGTACAGAATTACACTAAGAACTGCCCATGATTCCAGTCCTTTATACAGAATTACACTAAGAACTACCAATGATTCCAGTCCTTTATACAGAATTACACTATGAACTGCCCATGATTCCAGTCCTTTATACAGAATTAAGAACACCAATGAAGTCCTTTATACACAATTACGCTAAAAAAATATCAATGATTTCTGTCCTTTATACAGAATTACACTAAAAATACCAATGATTCCAGTCCTTTATACAGAATTACACTAAGAACTACCAATGATTCCAGTCCTTTATACACAATTACACTAAGAACTACCAATGATTCCAGTCCTTGATACAGAATTACACTAAAAACTACCAATGATTCCAGTCCTTTATACAGAATTACACTAAGAACTACCAATGATTTCTGTCCTTTATACAGAATTACACTAACAACTACCAATGATTCCAGTCCTTTATACACAATTACACTAAAAAAATATCAATGATTCCAGTCCTTTATTCACAATTACACTAAAAAAATACCAATAATTCCAGTCCTTTATACAGAATTACACTAAAAACTACCAATGATTCCAGTCCTTTATACAGAATTACACTAAGAACTACCAATGATTCCAGTCCTTTATACACAATTACGCTAAAAAAATATCAATGATTCCAGTCCTTTATACACAATTACACTAAAAAAATACCAATAATTCCAGTCCTTTATACAGAATTACACTAAGAACTACCAATGATTCCAGTCCTTTATACACAATTACACTAAGAACTACCAATGATTCCAGTCCTTTATACAGAATTACACTAAGAACTTCTAATGATTCCAGTCCTTTATACAGAATTACACTAAGAACTACCAATGATTCCAGTCCTTTATTCAGAATTACACTAAGAACTTCTAATGATTCCAGTCCTTTATACAGAATTACACTAAGAACTTCTAATGATTCCAGTCCTTTATACAGAATTACACTAACAACTACCAATGATTCCAGTCCTTTATACACAATTACACTAAAAACTTCCAATGATTCCAGTCCTTTATACACAATTACACTAAAAAAATATCAATGATTCCAGTCCTTTATACACAATTACACTAAAAAAATACCAATAATTCCAGTCCTTTATATAGAATTACACTAAGAACTACCAATGATTTCTGTCCTTTATACAGAATTACACTAAGAACTACCAATGATTCCAGTCCTTTATACAGAATTACACTAAAAACTTCCAATGATTCCAGTCCTTTATACAGAATTACACTAAGAACTTCTAATGATTCCAGTCCTTTATACAGAATTACACTAAAAACTACCAATGATTCCAGTCCTTTATACAGAATTACACTAAGAACTTCTAATGATTCCAGTCCTTTGAACTTTGAAGAAATTGTGCAGTAAGTATTGTAAAAAATATGTATGGATTTTTGTTATAACACAAGATAATTCATTTTTAAAATTTATGAAGAAAAGTGAAATAATAAAACTTGGCCTATATTACGTGTTGTTTCATTCTTCCTTTTCATCAATGGCAGACAGTTTCGAATAAATCGTAAGAATTAAAAGGATTGAGAAGTTATTGGGACAACAACCACGTTCGAAAGCAAGATATTTGTAAAGTTGATTTTTTAACATAAGATAAACTCTTTCATGAAAATTAGATTCCATACTGTTTAGGGTATTTAAATGTATGTTTTAGTGGCTGTGAACTGGAACCTACTGTAGTCTTTGTACATTGATTATCCCATGTTAACAGTTAATTATCGGCTCAGTTAACGTTCGAACACACGGTTACGAAAATCGTATTTTTTCTTTTTCTTCTACTGCCGAGGCGTATACGTTGCTCACAACCTTTTTTTGTGTAAGATGATTTTTGGATTTAAACGAACATGTATTTTACAGCATGTGTGCTGTAAAATACATGTTCGTTTAAATCCAATTAAGTACCCATCGATTTCTTTAGTAGGACTTCAGTTTTGACATACATAATGCTTACGATGTATGTGGTTAGATTTAAACCTTCTCGAGCTGGTGGTTCTCTGGTTGTGGAATCTTTAAATAAGACGATTAGGTGTTCAGTACGTAGCCCATTTTGACATGAACTTGATTACTTGACCCAATGATGGGATCAGTGATTTTCGAACAAGCCGTTCTTGTAAGACTTTGAGTCTAACTACCCTTTATCTGGCCTTTTAAGCAATCTAATCAAAAGTTTACAAGTTCATGGCTTAATGAACTCTGTAACATGTAATGCTCAAACGAATCAATGTTTTTTGGGGTAATCATCATGACAATGACTGGCAAATAGTTTCAACGTTTAGTAGGTGATGTCATCAGACAAGATAGTGCATAATATATCATCAGTGTATTAATGTAAGCATGAATTACCTCATTGTTTATGTCTCCATTAATATTGTTGTTTCTAATTTGATACTACACTTATAGTTTCCTTTAAATTAAAAAACGTGTGTGAAATGTAGCACAATTTCACGCATTTGTGTGACAAATGGTTGAATTAAGTCGTATGGGCAACATAATTTGTAATTTTGAAATAGGCATCTGTTTGATATTTTTTTCGTTTTACACTGGAAAATATGTTAAGATTGACAAGATTTACAAATGAATACAATAAGATCATTATGGTAAATCCAGAATTCATTCTAGGTTATAATTCTAAAATGAATATCATCTGGGTTGACATTGTACCTAGTTAGCAGGGTTCCACTTCCGTTGATTCTTAATTGCTTCATGTCATTAGAAATCTTTCATAGGACCCGTCTTACATGTACCTCGGATACACTGTATGTGTGGTTTGTTTTGATGTATGCCGTATATGAATCCATATAAATGACCTGTTGCTTCTACAAGCTCCTATAGAACTCCATCACGGATTTGTGCACAGCACCAGTGCTTTTTTGGAGGGCTAGTACTGACTGATGGTCGTCCTGATCGAGAGTCACTAAACCTGCTCTGCCACGCCGGCACGCCTTCAGTCAACGTTTCATGGTGCAGAAGAAGTCTCACCAATAAGCGACAATCACTAGGTCTTCGGATTTGTTAGGACGATCAATCCTTCAGGGCTTAAAACTTTGACACCGCCCTATACTCAGCTTTGTCCATTTTACCAACTCAGTGGAGTTATGTCTCTTCAACAGTGTAGTGAGTAAACATGTGTAATATGATCCCATATAAAATCAGAAGCTAGGACAAGGATGGATATAAAGAGTGGTGCATTTTTACCACCCTACAGGAAAAGCTGTTCGGGACTCAAAACTATTTGACATACCATCATACATGCGTATATTCCGAACAGTTATTCGAATTTGGCATGCTGCAGGTTACGGGGGCCTAAAGTCCACTATCAGTGTCTACCATCTGTGATCTCTATATGTAAAATAGTATATTTTGAAAAAATGTTCGAATTGATGTTTGTTGCAATTTGTTCCAATCATAGGTTCTTTCTCAAAGACGTCTCAGGATTGACTATATGCCGACTTCAAGCAATGACCTCTTATTCGTTTTTACTATCATCACATGGAAAAGTTGCCCATTCAAAATCTCAGATGACTTGTATTTCTCTCCTAAAAATATCTTAAAACAAATATATATGTATACAAAAGTGTAATGAAACATTTCAGCGCCAAAGCTCGCAAAAATTTAAAACTTCCAGACTAGTTTAATAAAATTTCATATGAAATGAAAACTCGTGTACGATTCTATAGGTATCAAGTTTGGTTATTGAAATATTTGATTGACACAAAATTTTGTTTTATTTTAAATAACCGTGAGTTTACCTTGTATTTATCCATGACACCGTTCCATCCTGTGTTAGATCGATGTCTCACGACTCACGGAAGTCTCCAAATTAATGCAAAGGTAAGGGTCTCCTGGATCCATTTTACTGGATAATGTTGACAACGATAAACTAAAACCTCGACATTTCCTTGTGGAACAGGGACAATCTGAACTTGAAATTCCTTATTGGGCACCACACGCATGTATATTGTCGTCATAATTATTAGTCAAATAAAGTAAGCAATTGATACCATATAGAATTAAACATTGATGGAAAGTGACCCGACTGGAAAAGTCAACACACAAGCAGGAAGGTTTTAATACTAATGGATATCAAACATTACGGGGAAATTTCGACACCATACAAAATGAAAACATCTCGCAAATCACTCTGTATAGAAAACGTAAAAAAAAATACTCGTCAAATCCGTAAAATGCAAGAAACCTTACACAGCTCTTGAGAATCTGGACTGAATATGGAACCTGCTGTAAAATCAATTAGGAAAATAGTACATGTACGCATGTCACAACCATTAAATTTGTTTTCATTTACTACAAATTAAGAAATTTAAAAATCGATGGTTTAAAATATGTCTGGTGTTGTGTTATATTTGCCATTTTATTAATATTGGAATTATATTTCAGCTAATTTTTTTTATTTAAGATGAAAAAATTAAAGACATACATTTCTACTATATCATCAACAGTTACTCATCATTTTTGTACATCATATTAAGATAAGACATATAAGATACTTACATAAAAAAAAAACATGTCAGCAAACAGGCACCACTATAGAGAACACACCGACAACAATTGTTCTGAAGAGTGTTATACTGTAGGGGCGTCATGTCAAACCTACACATGACAGGTGACAAACATGTTATCGTCATATCACCGACACGGATTTTCACTTCTCCTACTTGTTCTGCTAAAACAGAAAAGAAACAACGCAAGAAATAATCTGTGAATAATACATCATTACAAGAAGCTTTAGCAATTTTACTGTTATAAACGTAGACACCAGTTGAGAGAGGTAGCGCCTTGTTGGACCGAACCGTGAACTTCTCACAATTCGTACAAACATGTGTTCGTATTGGTTTCCAGTTCGAATGTCATGTTCTGTTGTCTTATTATTTCTGTTTGGAACTTGTAAGTATGATATATCGTTCTATAAAAAGTATTATATGTGCTTAAACTGTGACAAATTTCCTAATGAATACAAATCTTAAAACCTTTTTCTATGCGATAATCTACTGTACTATTGGCGGATCAAAGATACTTACTTTTTGATATTTTTGTTGCCGTTAACGACCAGGGAGCCATGTCCGCGGGTGTGATCTCCTCGGTCTGAATCTCTGCACATGGAAGTTTGCATCCAACGTTACGGACCGTACATCAGAAGAGGTGTCGGCCATTCCATCTAAAATGGAGGCACTCAAAATGTGCAGGTACTTGATTATGTAACGCATTAAACTTAAGTGAGTGGTGTAGTGTAATTCTGACTAAAGGTTTAGTTCTTGTGACAAGTTTTGATTGAAACTGATAATGTTTGTTAATTGTTGAGAAATTAAGTGTAACTTTTGCAAGTGAAAGTTAATATTATTGTAATTGTTGTTAGTGAGAGTAAAGACACATTAAAATGTAACTGTTGTCAGTAAATGTTGATATGCTTGAAGATGCTGTCGGTGAAAGTTAAGAAACATGTTACAGTTCTTAGGGGACATTAAGGTACTTGTATCAGTTATTAGTGAGAGTTGTATTTATGAACTTGTTATAAGTGAGACGGGTATTTATATAATTGTTATGAGTTAGAGTTGTATTAATGTAACTGTTATAAGTGAGAGGCGTATTTATGAAATGTTACTAGTGAGAGTTGTATTTATGTAACTGTTATAAGTGAGAGGCGTATTTATAAAATGTTATTAGTGAGAGTTGTATTTATGTAACTGTTATAAGTGAGAGGTGTATTTATGTAACTGTTATAAGTGAGAGTTGTATTAATGTAATTGTTATAAGTGAGAGTTGTATTTATGTAACAGTTATTAGTGAGAGTTGTATCTATGTAACTGTTATTAGTTATTAATTTATGGAACTTTCAGTGTGAGTTAATATACATGTAACCTTTTGTGAATTTGATTATGTAACAGTTATTAGTGAGAGTTGTATCTATGTAACATGTATTATGAGAGTATGTATTTTTTGTGTTATCTCTCAGAACAATGTAAAGAGAGTTGTATTAATGTAACTGCCTAGAGCAATTGTATTTAAAAGCATGTTAACAGTGAGAGTTGTATTAAAGTAATTGTTATAAATGAGTTTTATTTATGAAACTGTTATTAGTGAGAGTTGTATTAATGTAATTGTTATAAGTGAGAGTTGTATTAATGTAACTGTTGTAAGTGAGAGTTGTATTTATGTAACTGTTATTAGTACAAGTTGCTATCATGGCAACTGTTGTTGTTAATGTATTTATGTCACTAACTTTTTTACATGTAACTACTGTGAAATTGATTAGTATATGCTGAATCAGATGAAAGTTGACAGTAGTGGTTGAAATGAATGTTGTCATTGGTGATTGTGATGGATGTTGTCATTGGTGATTGAGATGAATGTTGTCAGTGGTAGTTGAGATGAAAGTTGTCAATGGTGACTTAGATGAATGTTGTCAATGGTAGTTGAGATGAATGTTGTCAATGGTGACTGAGATGAATGTTGTCAGTGGTAGTTGAGATGAATGTTGTCAATGGTAGTTGAGATGAATGTTGTCAGTGGTAGTTGAGATGAATGTTGTCAGTGGTAGTTGAGATGAATGTTGTCAGTGGTAGTTGAGATAAATGTTGTCAATGGTGACTGAGATGAATGTTATCAATGGTAGTTAAGATGAATGTTGTCAATGATGACTGAGACGAATGTTGTCAATAGTGATTGGGATGAATATTGTCGCTGCTGGTTGAGATGAATGACTGGGATGAACATTATTAATGGTTGCTGAAATCAACACTGAGATAACTATCGTTGATAATGGCTGTGATGACTAACGTTCGTTGAGATGGTAGTTAAGATGGATATTGTAAGTGGCTACTTTTGCGGGCGGTATTAAAAACTATGTACTGACAACAGAAATGTATATAACTGTTTATATGTAATTAGGTAAAGTGTATAATCATTTTCCCAAAACAAATGCCGTTCAGGTCAAACAACACTGCATGCATAGCTCAGACAATTTTAGTAACTAAATTGATGGTATATTACTACCTGCTATGTAAAACACAATATATGTATGGTGTGTACCTTCTATAACACTGGCTTCAGATGTGATGTTTCCGTGCTCACTTTATATATCTATAAAGCCTATTTCATTTGGATGTTTTCGTACACTTTAAATAGCTAAAAACTGCCTTATATGTCTTGTCTATTCAAACACTTGTAATATGACGTTACGGTGATTATTGCGGTATGTACTAATTTATTCACAACGTCAGTGACTAAGCGGTTTCTGTACTAGTCACCAAAACATACATATAAAATGTTTAGCATTATGAACCTCTTTAAATATATATACTACCATAAGGAAAGTCTTGTAGCATTGCAAATACATCATGACAAGTTAGTTAAAGATATAATTATCGGTATCAATTTTGACCGAGATAAATATGAATCTAAATTTTCCTTCCAGATTACTATCCTTAAGGCTCTTAGCCTTGATAAATGGAGGAATGTATGTTTCACAGCAATCTTTTATATACATCTAGTACAATGTACATAAAAAGTACATAATACTTCTGATATCAGGAGGCAGTCTTTCCTATGAATGTACCTGATAAAGCATTGTGATTTGATTCTCCTGTAGACTCACTTGTCCTACAGAAAACAATAAATCATTTGATTGCCTTTATTGTAAATTGCTGTAGGTTAAAAGCATATCTTGACATATTTTATCTCCAGTAGTGATGGAAAGACTTATCAAGTATTTATCATGAACGAAAGCTTAGTGAGTCCTTCCCCTGATTGGAGATAGAGAGAAAGGAGGAGGGAAGAAAAAACAATCACTGCATTATGATTACTACATTATAATTGTTATTGCTCGTTTCTTTAGTAATGGAAAAACAACTCTCAGCAATGCTACATGTAACATGCACTTCCTTCGTTGGAGATACACACATATCGACAGGAATTTCTACTTTGATTAATCTTTCAACACAATCATTCTAGTTAAAAAAAGAAAAGGTTTACAATATACCATTTACCGATCATATTTTGATATTCTGTAGTTTTGCATCGATATGTATGATTATATCATAATAGGTATAAGCATCACCTGGAATCCTGTTTCGAGCCCAAGTTAGAGGGATGTACCACTAACATTGTGTATCTGTCAACCATCGCCCCAACTGAAGGCACATTACAGTTTATGTGCGCCGGTGATATTGAAGGTATTTTATTTTAATAGATAAAATGTCGTGAATAAAATGAAAACAAGAAATTTCTGTTAAATAAGATATGCTCTATTACACAAATTATATGAAACAGCTGCTTAGAGTTGTGTTTAGAATATCCCAGTATTACAGTGTTAAAATAATTCAGTTATACATGATACATTTTTATAGAGAGAGAGTAACACTCTGATAAATCATGTATTTACCATTACTTACATTGTATTTCAGCTTATATATCACACGACAACTGCTGGTCACTATCAGAAGTACAAAATCAGACATCTAAATGTTATTTACAGTATATTTCAAGCATTCAAGAAACCCTGACTTCGCCAACTCTGTTATCTGACCCCAAACATATTGTTGGTAAACAGTTTTGCAGGTAACACTTATTTTCTTGATATTTTGAAATGTAAATGACAACATAGTATAACTTGTAGTTTCATTTGGTATTTCTCTTTACTGCATCACAATATCTGATAATGCGTAACGGTTATTTGTCCATGTTGGACATAGTGGTGGCATCAAAACCAGTTCGTGAAGATCTAAACATCAAATACATGGAAGATGAGTCACTATGAAATCAATGTTAATTCGTATTTACAACAAAATTCATATTTTTTTCCAAAAAATGAGAGAGACCTTCAATTTGTTTTTCTGAAGGACTGGACAAAATATTCGATCTATATAAAACTCTTTTTCTAATTCTGGTGTTCTATTGAAAGACAAAATATTAGATATGTGAAAGACGAAAGGGACAATCTTGTCCCAACTGAAGCAATCATGCGATGTCTTAATGATTTATCATACTTTTGTCTTTCATTTGTTTTGATGAAATAGTCGTTTTACATGGCAGAACAGGTTACCTATGTGATGAAACTCCTTCAGTGACATAAATATTTATTGTCAAGGTTTACAACATATGAAACTATTGACCGTTCTTTCTTTCTGTTAGTTTTTAATCTGTAAGGTATACGGTACATAAAATCAGATGTCTATTTTAATCCTTGTGAAACTGCAATGACCAATATTCATTAACATCCATTGAATTCATCATTCATATTTTATCAAAAGAATAAAGTTCTCGAGAAAAGAGAAATTCACTAGCTGAACAATTTTTAACTATTTTTAATACTATGTCATGATATTTATGCTTAAATATTGGTAAGATTGAAAGGGAATTACATTTAAACAGATACATGCCAGATGAAGGTAAGGAATAATATATTTACCGATCAGGACTTTTTACGAAGTATACCAAGCTTGTCCTATTTATCCTAATTATAGTATTGTAGGGCGGAGCCGAGAGTGTATGCATGGTGCCACCAAACAGAACTGTTCTGACGCGGCGGCAAACACAGTGTACAGGTTAATGGAGAGAGTATTCAAGGAGATGACATCGTTCTTTAGTTGTCCGTACAACAAAAACGTCGCCGACAAAGGTAGAAAGCGCGTCTACCAGGTTTACTGAACGAGTAAGATTTCGTCACACATCTCTGACCTTTACTGACCAAACCATTGTGAACGCAACCAATGATGTTGGTAATATACAGATGTGTGTCTCGTACAGTAAAGTGTTTGATTTGTCTGTTTTGTGTGACGTATATTTTGTTTATGTGTTCTAGAACATTTGAATGAAAAAAAAAGATAATAGATGAATAAATAAAAAGGTTCCCTGCTGAATATTTGAAAAGTAATTCAATGGTCATATGTCAAAATGCCAAATGCAGATGTATGCTGTAAATCCCACATTTACACCTTTTTTTCAGAAAGCCATATGATGGACCATTCAGTTCGGAGTGATTCTTCGTCATCGAACTTTAATACTGCTCCCTCCTATCTCCGCTCAGTCCTCCTTTTACTTGTCATCTTACACCTTATCTGATAACAAGATTTGTTACCTGAAATACCGCCTACCTCTGACATGGATCTGCACTTATCTACACACTGTTAACACAGTACCACCTACATCTGTCAGAACTCAGTACTGCTTACCTCTGTCTAGGATCTTTACTTATCATCAGTCTGTTTACTCAGTACCGCCTACCTCTGCTCAGGATTTGTAGCGATCACCAGAATATTAACTCATTACGTCTACCTCTGACAAGGATCTTTAATGATCTTCAGACTGTTAACTAATTATCACATATCTCTGGCAAGGATTTGTTCTGATCTCTAGACTTTTAACATAGCACCGCCTACCTCTGCCCAGGATCTGCACTGATCTTCAGATTGATAACTCAGTACCGCCTTCCTCTGGCCAGGATCTGCACTGATCTTCAGACTGATAACACCGTACGCCTACATCTTTCCAGAGTTTGTACTGATCTTCAGATTGATGACTCACTACCGCCTACCTTTGCCCAGGATCTGCACTGATCTTCAGATTGGTGACTCAGTACCGCCTACCTTTGCCCAGGATCTGTACTGATCTTCAGATTGGTGACTCAGTACCGCCTACCTTTGCCCAGGATCTGCACTGATCACCAGATTGGTGACTCAGTACCGCCTACCTTTGCCCGGGATCTGCACTGATCTTCAGATTGATGACTCAGTACCGCCTTCCTCTGGCCAGGATCTGCACTGATCTTCAGACTGATAACACCGTACGCCTACATCTTTCCAGAGTTTGTACTGATCTTCAGATTGATGACTCAGTACCGCCTACCTTTGCCCAGGATCTGCACTGATCTTCAGATTGGTGACTCAGTACCGCCTACCTTTGCCCAGGATCTGTACTGATCTTCAGATTGGTGACTCAGTACCGCCTACCTTTGCCCAGGATCTGCACTGATCACCAGATTGGTGACTCAGTACCGCCTACCTTTGCCCAGGATCTGCACTGATCTTCAGATTGATGACTCAGTACCGCCTACCTTTGCCCAGGATCTGCACTGATCTTCAGATTGGTGACTCAGTACCGCCTACCTTTGCCCAGGATCTGCACTGATCACCAGATTGGTGACTCAGTACCGCCTACCTTTGCCCAGGATCTGCACTGATCACCAGATTGGTGACTCAGTACCGCCTACCTTTGCCCAGGATCTGTACTGATCACCAGATTGGTGACTCAGTACCGCCTACCTTTGCCCAGGATCTGCACTGGTCTTCAGATTGGTGACTCAGTACCGCCTACCTCTGCCCAAGATCTGCACTGATCTTCAGACTGTTAACTCAGTACCGCCTACCTGTGACCAGGATCTGCACTGATCTTCAGATTGATGACTCAGTACCGCCTACCTTTGCCCAGGATCTGCACTGATCTTCAGATTGGTGACTCAGTACCGCCTACCTTTGCCCAGGATCTGCACTGATCTTCAGATTGGTGACTCAGTACCCCCTACCTTTGCCCAGGATCTGCACTGATCACCAGATTGGTGACTCAGTTCTGCCTACCTTTGCCCAGGATCTGCACTGATCACCAGATTGGTGACTCAGTACCGCCTACCTTTGCCCAGGATCTGTACTGATCTTCAGATTGGTGACTCAGTACCGCCTACCTTTGCCCAGGATCTGCACTGATCACCAGATTGGTGACTCAGTACCGCCTACCTTTGCCCAGGATCTGCACTGGTCTTCAGATTGGTGACTCAGTACCGCCTACCTCTGCCCAAGATCTGCACTGATCTTCAGACTGTTAACCCAGTACCGTCTACCTGTGACCAGGATCTGTACTGATCTTCAGACTGTTAACTTATTATCACCTATCTCTGGCCAGGGTTTGTACTGATCTTCAGGGTTTCCTCCTTACTGGTCTCAGCTCAATCTCGTCAATCTCAGATGGGGCCGTTCTGTTGTCCCACATGTAAAAGTAGATATCCTCTTCCAATCTCATCCTCATGATATCGATGTAGATGTCACTCGTCCTCTCACTAACCATGCTGTAAGCCGTATTGTCGGTCACTCCTAGAAACAATGTAAAAAAACTCCAGCCTATCAACGATAAATAAAGGTCGCTTGGATTAGTTTGATAACTGCTTTCGTGTATGTGTATATATGTATTTATATGTAAACATAAAAGGCCAACAAGTATGTTTATATATCTAAACGATACACAATGTTCTCATCTAATTGAACTTTGTATTTATATATATATATTAACATATCTAACCCTTGATGAATGGAAGGATATTTTTTTCCCACTTTATTCCTGTAGTTGCCTTATTCACTTTATTACTACGTATTCAAGCTCATCAGAAACGACAATGAAGAAATCTCTCCACAATACAATTTATATCGCTTGGGCATATCAGTGTGAGAACACATTTCGTAAAGATTTTTTTAACGTCTTGCTGCATTGTTTTACAGACAAACGAACGATTGAAACCATATATATGACATTGCCTTCTGCTAAAACGAATGGGGATGGGTACATATAGCAGCACTTAGTAGGTCTATATAGTCATTACCTATCTATTTCTGTACCATAACTTTAATTGTTTTCACTGTCAAATTTGTTTCGGTAGAATGGTTCCTGCACAACGATTTTTTTCGTCTTCATTAAAAAACCTTTACTGTTAAGAACATTGCGAGATTTAGAAGAAATTCATGTAAAAGTTTCTGTTTGAACTTAGATAACTTACGCTATTATGGATCAAGATTTTACATTAAAAAAATTCAAGGTTTTCGGACATAAATTTTGTTGTCATTGCTTTCAGGAATCATATCGCAAATTGCCATCATTATCTATTGTGGTCTTTGAAATGATATGCTATCCATTACAGTATAATGAACATCAACGTCAGATAACTGTATTAAGTTCGGAGTTAGTCCTGACTATATCTGTAGGGTTCATTGATGGGAAAGCTCCTGTTTTTGTATGTATTAACGTTCCCAGAAATATTTCATTCACAATCTTTTTTTTTCATTGTATAACAAACATTTTTGTGTCTTAGCTGAGAAACCCTTTTCCTATAATGTTGTATTAGATCATCTCATTATTGGCTGAATAGAAAATTTGACCGATGCTTGATTTGGAGTATCATTCATTAAAATGAAGGAATTGAGTACGATACAAATACATTTGTTCCTATGTGTATATGAGGAACTATTTTCTTGACGTTTACGTATGAATATACCAGGCGGTGCACGGGTTAGGGATGTAGACAGAATAACTTACTTGATACAGCAGTTGGGCCGGAACAGCAAACATGAGGGAAATAGTACACATACAAGCGGGGCAATGCGGCAACCAGATAGGATCCAAGGTAGGATATCAAAATACTTATATAGTGCTGACAGTATATCTTCTGAGGACACATAGTGTTAAGGTAATAGGGATGGTTACCTATCTTAATATATGATCGTGCTGACAGAATGCCTTCTGTAGACACACAGTGGTAAAGTAATAGGGATGGTTACATATCTTAATATATGACGGTATGGCTTTTGTTGACACACACACTGGTAATATAAGTAAGATAGTTACCAGATCTTAATATATGACAGAATGCATTCTGTAGACACACAGTGGTAAAGTAATAGGAATGGTTACCAGATCATAATGTATGACGGTATGTCTTTTTTAGACATACACACACTGATAATAGAAGTAAGATAGTTACCAGATCTTAATATATGACCGTACTGACAGTATGTCTTCTGCAGACACACATCGATAAGGTAATATATACGGTTACCACATACTATTATATGACAGCGTTGGTAGTTACCTGAACTAAATATAGGGCAGTATTCAGTACATCGTTTGTAGCGGTTACCAGCTCGTAATATATCACAGAGCTGATAATATATCATCTGTAGACATGCAAAGTAGTTAGTTAGCATGCTTGAATTTGAAGGTAGCAACAACTTATCGACTGTGTGAGGTATAATTATATCATTATCAAAATGTAGATATCGAAATATTTCCAGAATAGGGACATTTTAATGGTATTCTCTGAGACCAAAGATTATAAAAAGTATCGTCTGAGCTCAGGTAATTGTCCCTCAAGTAGACGCTGACAAGAACGCAAGACTTAATAGTTCCTAAAATAATTTTCAGGGTAGGGTCTTAAGAGCTGGAATTTTACAGTACCTAAAATAATCTCCCAAATAGGGTCATGATAAGTAGTATTTCACAGTTCCTACAATAATGTCCTAAAGAGGGTTCTGATAAGTAGGATTTCACAGTTCCTACAACAATCTCCCAATTAGAGCCCTGATAAGTAGGATTTCACAGTTCCTACAACTATCTCCCAAAGCAGGGATAGGAAGGATTCTATAGGCACTGAAAACAAAGTGAGGTATTTAAATGAACTCTTTAGGTATTAACACAAAATATTTGGCATTACATCTGTAGTGTTATGTAAATGACAAGGCATCTTACTAACGCGCAGCTGTACAGAAAAGTATATTAAAGGAGATTGCAGGTATTAGATATAAAATGATGGGGCTAGTGTACCAACCCATTTAGATTTTGACATTCTGTCCGATCTCTAGATTTTCTCACGGTAACGTAATAACATACAGTGTTAGATTTCATTTGCTTTTTACATAACACCGAAACAACATGGAATTCTGACACACTAAACACAAATTGCAGTGACCATCATGACACGACAGCAACGACAAAGCTTTTTTTTACTTTACATACGAAACTTAGTGGCTTCTGTTCAGCATCACACATGTTTCAGGTTTATTTTCTCATAAACGTGTAAGCTTTTCATGAACATCCACTATCTGAAATGTGGAGTGTTCGGATCTTTGCCTCGTGTAGGGTTTAGATGTCAATACACTACTGTAACATACGCTTTCATTTATCTATGTGTAAACGTGGCGGAGTGTACGTAGCTGTCATGGTGCCAGCATTCGTACCTAACGTTAGACGTGCCGATAGCGATTTACATGCGATGTGTAAATCTGGCGGTCTGACTCATACACCACCAAATGACGAGACGCTGCATTTACTCACTCTATTAACAATAATTGATATCGTATTAATAACATGCAGTTTATAACAACCGAAGGGCACTCTCACGTGTCTACTACTTAGTACGAGTAGATTCATATGTGTATACTAGTGACTAGAATTGTGGTCTCGTGTGAACAACTGACTTTATGTAAAATGCATTCACTTTTGTTCCTACCGTTCAACTGACTAGAAGAGCAGTCACGTTGGTACTACTTACTAAACGTAATGTCATGAGCGTTCTAATGATCATAAAAAGGCATAAATTTGCGTGTGTTCAACTGACTATGAGTGAAGTTAAATGAACAAATATATATATATATATTACTTACTGCGAGGAACATTCAATCACGTGTAATCGTAATTCTATTTTGACGCGAAAATACCTCGCATTTCTCTAACGCAAAGGCACATTGACATATGATAAAATACAAGAATTTTTTTTTGAAAATAACATAATCGGTGTGCTGTCTTGTGAAATCCTCGCGTAATATTTTCCAGTGTAATAAATACTGGAGCATCGATTGTGATATCATTATAAGGACAATAACGTAACGTTAGGAGTAGACAATGGCTGCCCCGTTCGATTTAATCCTCGAAATTTTACTTTAAAATTGTCAAAATATACCTTTTTGAGTTATGTGACAAAAGATATTTCAAATTTATTTTTATTTCAGATGGAATGTCCTAAAACTGCCTGAAAGGCTCGCAGAAATGAAAATATTTAAGACTTGTTTCATAAATTCTCATATAAAATGAAAAAATAATTAAGGATCTTACATGTATAATATGCATCACAATAAGAATACTTTTATAAACATTCAGCAGTAATATTCTCAAGGGTTTAACATTTTAGAGCAAGAACAATTATTCGTAAACGTTTTGTGCGAGTCATTATTTCGGTGATGTTTGTGAGACTCATTATTACGGTGATGTTTGTGAGAGTCATTATTTCGGTGATGTTTGTGAGAGTCATTATTTCGGTGATGTTTGTGAGAGTCATTCTTTCGGTGATGTTTGTGAGAGTCATTCTTTCGATGATGTTTGTGAGACTCATTATTTCGGTGATGTTTGTGAGACTCATTCTTTCGGTGATGTTTGTGAGAGTCATTCTTTCGGTGATGTTTGTGAGAGTCATTCTTTCGGTGATGTTTGTGAGAGTCATTCTTTAGGTGATGTTTGTGAGAGTCATTCTTTAGGTGATGTTTGTGAGAGTTATTCTTTCGGTGATGTTTGTGAGAGTCATTCTTTCGATGATGTTTGTGAGACTCATTATTTAGGTGATGTTTGTGAGAGTCATTCTTTCGATGATGTTTGTGAGAGTCATTCTTTCGCTGATGTTTGTAAGACTCATTCTTTCGCTGATGTTTGTGAGAGTCATTCTTTAGGTGATGTTTGTGAGAGTCATTCTTTAGGTGATGTTTGTGAGAGTTATTCTTTCGGTGATGTTTGTGAGAGTCATTCTTTCGATGATGTTTGTGAGACTCATTATTTAGGTGATGTTTGTGAGAGTCATTCTTTCGCTGATGTTTGTAAGACTCATTCTTTCGGTGATGTTTGTGAGACTCCTTCTTTCGCTGATATTTTAACGATCGGCAGAAACGAAATTGGTTATGTCCTGCTTTCTGTGACTTATTGGTGTTAAAGAACAGGGTTACAAAGTAAGACGTCGAGCCCCAGTGGATTGTTGTGCAGGTCCCATTAATGAAGATTTCTGATAAGGTTATATATGGTTCAATGTGAGCATATCAAAGGGAACAACAAAAGTGTCGAATTTTGCCTCTTTGTGATAAGACACACGACAGACGGTAATTTGACTCTTTCTTATCATCAAAGCAAGAACAACAAACAATGTATGCTTTTTATGTAGTTAACATTCAAATATCAAATAAACTTTAACTAGTTAAATTATTTTTGAAGTGACAAAGCACTATTGAAGACTGACATTTTATCTGTAAATTGTTTATCAGTTATGATTATTTCTGATATTTTACACATGAGCTCGTTTACAATAGTTGTGTAGATAGATATCAGAATATTCACCAGTATCGATGTCTTAGTGTTTGAATGGAATTTTTTATATTGTACAAGGAGAAGAAAAATATATCGAAATAGGAAGATATAATGGTGCGAAACAGACGAGGAGTTACGTGTGTAGGAGGAAAACTTAAATCAAATATTGACTATATATCATCAGTAGAGATCTATCAATAGATCTAAAAAGGTATTCCAGAATGTTGTCTGATAGATCAGCTAAAATACCACAGTATGATTTGGCCGCATAGTAACATTATTCTTAGCCATGTGAGTAGTTTGCAAATAGCTTCACCATTCCAAGTTCGTGTGAATTTTTTTTTACGTTATAATAAAAAAAGTCATTCGACAAAATAACACCACAAAGCCTATTGTTAAAACCAAGCTGCTAGAATTTATAGTTTTATATGGTTAATTCAATTTAACTTACTTAATACCCATGCAAAATCTCGGCTATTTCGGAAAAAGGAGACTGAATTAGAAACACTACAAACAAATTAAAATAGACTTGTGCTTACGATTTAAATCTACTTTATGAAACATTTCCGATTCGTAACGAAATTTACATGTCTCTGATTATTTCCATATCTACATGTTATTTTGGGCGACAGACTTAGCCAGTGTCGCCAGCACAATAAAATAGTTTTCGTCTAAAAGTAATACTATAATCAATACCATATGGTATGTATATAAAATGATGTGGTATATTCAGACTGTTGGAATTAATGAACGACATATGTTAATTACGGCTGTTGTTAGTCTCGTATTAGCAGTTTCTTTGTGTTTATAATCACGATACATATAACATATGTTTTCATTGATGTATTTTTATCCTACTGTCGCATAAACCACACTCAAGTAGCTCGTCCAATACCATGTGATATGTTTCATTCCACTTGGATTTACCTAAAGGAGACAAAAATACGAATTGAATTGCATTTTTAAACAAAACATAAATGAACACAGGAATACTACTAATAAAAAAGGACAATAAATATCAACATGTCAACATGATTAAAATCCAGATTCAAATTCAATCAAACTAGAATAAACTTGTGATATATAATACAAATACAACCAATAACATGAAATATACAACTGAATTATATCTATTATACGGTACAACGTACAGAGGGACAGATTACATGACCACTGGCATATTGTCATTACTATCATTGACAATGAATTAACTGTTCTATGTACTAACGTTAGGAGAGTGAAATAACATAAATTGAAGATAAAGTGAAACTAAAAGTAATGAATGATTTATCAAAAATCGTTCATAAAGCTACACAGGATCATTAAAACATGTATTTGTATGTATTTGGAATTGTTCTGATGTTACTATGCCTCCTGTTTTCCCGTATATTATTTAATGCAACGTTGGATGGTTTGCAACAACTATCCGTCCTCATCACAACGCACATAAATAAATCTCCTTGGTAACCCTTCAACCCTGATAGGTACGTGATAAACATATTTTCGGCAATGATAGGAATGTGGACGCTTTACTATCTTAAACTACACGTGCTTTGCAGTTAACGCCGGGTATAATTTATGTTACAAGACTAGCCACGCTGTCCTGCCTCTGTAGACGAAGATGAGACGTGCGCTACCATGTACAGCGGAGTTATGTTTACATTGTACATGCAACTTCGATCGCAACATCAAGAACATGCACTTGAAACATTAACGGTTGATAATTGAAGAAAACCGAGACGAGTTTTTATACAAGTTAAAGAGCTTGCACGTGTATTTCGCTAGCTTAGTCATAAGTGTGGTACATTCTCCATTCGGAACAGTAGAAGATGATGTTCTTTTTAATTAGCAGCTAGCTTTATTTTAAGATGAAATCTCGAACCAGGAAATTGAATAGACGTTGAAAATGGTGTCGAGCAATGTAAAGAGTAGGTTTCTTATTGGATGGAATGTACGTGAATACATTAAAATTTAATGGATCTGCGTTCTCAAATAGGAACATGTTAAACAACAACGGAACCACCAGCCATGCCAATGAGCATCTAACACGTCCAACATCCATCCTATCTGACAAAATTGAACAATCGGATGAAATTTACATAATACGTCACTACAAGTCAGATTGTCATGATAACCACTTTATGGCAATAAACATTTTAGTCGAAACTAAAATTGTGTAATCAAAACGATAAAAATGTTTGTATATGTCATTTGCGCTTATAATCAACAAACATCTTTGCTATGTTAAAACTAGACAAACGAGTAGTGACAAGTAGGGCTGTTCTGTACCTCCTTCCGTGATAAAGTGTTTTCTGAAGGATTCAGATAGGCCAGCTGCATATAGAACGTTATGTAATCTAAGGTCTTAATGATTACTTTTTAAAGTGAATAAGGCCTTAGCTACATATATAATTGATCCATTCATTGAGAGGTCAATAATTTGGAACACACATACGCCTTCTTACTTCTTCGTTAGATATTTCTGTGTTTTGGTTTCGACTCCATTCCATACATAGATATTGTATGAAATTCAGATGGACTGCAAGATGGTTACGAAATTCAGGAACTCTTTGATTTGTTTTGTATTTTTAAGTTGTATCTCTGAACGAATCTCATATCATCACATTCTGTGTACATTTTATTTGGAAATTTCGTTATAGTATCGATACTGTTAAAAAACCAACATCAGTTGTGTTGTCAATGCGATATATATATATAGTTAATGACGATTCGCAAGTGATAATATAAAGAAAATTGTTTAAAAATGCTAACTTAACTTTTTCTTGTGTGTTTTTGTGTTTTTGTTTTTTTTAAACAATATTGGTTTGAGCGACATCTAATGTTGCTGTTGAAATCTATCAATTAAACTGGTGTTTTTCATGACTTTATTCAAGAAGTTACACATACATACTGCATTTAGATGTTACATATACGTGACAAAGCTATGACAGTTAACCATAACTGCAGGAAAAGGTGACAATATATATATGATTCACTATATACTCAATAAACCGACCGGTCTATCCTAGCATGTAAGACAAAAAACAAATGAAATTTAATGGGATTTGTTTTTATTGTATCAGTTTTGGGAGGTCATCTCCGACGAGCACGGGATAGATCCCGTGGGAATGTACCATGGTGACATGGATGTCCAGCTGGAGAGAATCAACGTCTACTTCAGTGAAGCTTGTGGTAAGTGGACATCTCAGATTCTCAGATAAAACGCATCACATCCTTAGGTCATCTGCCAAATTGTGTTTATCAGTCTGATTAGAGAAACAAAATTAATATCATAACTAGAACGATGATATAATTATGAAAATATCTTAATTTGAATTATTGTGAAAGAGGGAGGCAACACATTTGCTATGGCAGTGTGTAGAGACCAGCTAAGGACTTGACATGAAAGTCGTACTCATTAAGTTTGGATCTGTGTGTTAACATGACAAAAATTACAGTTTATGGTAGGAATCACTTGTTCATATTTATGTTTGATGTGTGTAATTTGCCTGTGATCCACTGAACTCGAGATGTAATATATTTACATATATGACTAGTGTAATATATCCGGGAGCACTTTCCATTGTCTACACCAATCAGAATAATAAGGACGATGACGTTACGAAATGATGTGAAAATGGCTCAATAAAAAGGCTGTCTCCGATTTTGTCAAATAAATCATGTTAAAATGAATTTTGAAGTTTGAATCTATTTTCATTCTATGAAACTGATCTCAAGTGTTACATCTTCTATTACCTGTTTAATAAAATCTGATACAGAAAGAACATTAATTGCGGATCCCTCATGAAAGTTGATATATATATAAATATATATAATATATAAAACAACAATCATTATATCCTACCATTCAAATACAGTTTACATTTTTGTAACTATTTCTCTATTTCTCGTCTATGTAGGTGGCAAATATGTCCCTCGTGCTGTTCTGTTAGACTTGGAACCTGGCACCATGGACTCGATCCGCTCGGGGACATTAGGGCAACTATTCCGGCCTGACAACTTCGTGTTTGGCCAGTCAGGAGCCGGTAACAATTGGGCCAAAGGTCACTACACAGAGGGTGCTGAATTGGTGGATTCGGTATTGGACGTTATTCGTCGGGAGTGTGAAACATGTGACTGCTTACAAGGCTTTCAGTTGGCTCATTCTTTGGGAGGAGGTACAGGTTCAGGAATGGGCACTCTTCTGATCAGTAAAATCCGTGAGGAATATCCCGACAGGATCATGAACACATTTTCGGTCATGCCGTCGCCCAAGGTAATTGTATATTTCCAAACGTCTTTAAGGGTCTCTTTTTTGGGTAACAACATACCGAAAGCATATGCCTAGCATTATACGCCCTTGCGATACGGTGTTATGGTGTTGTATCATGGCATCTTCTTTGTAATCAGTATTGTTAAAGTAACTTCGGGAGATCCCATCATAAATATAATGTAAACCATAAACATTTATAGTCCATTTTGACAATCTTCTGGATATCTACATAACGTTTTAGTCAAGTATCCCTCTCATGGATCTTCTCATGGAGTTTTACTAGTAATACATGTATAAAAAGCTACACTCTATCGTCCTTAAGAAATATGTATAGAGTAAAGTATAGTGAAGTGCAATTGGCCAATTAAGTTGATTAGATCATAGTGATAAATAGCACCATTAATATTGTATATGCGTGAACATGGGACATAGAAATGCTTAACAAACTGACTTGACTTGCAAGTGTAATACAGAAATATAGACTTTTTTTGATGTCCAATCACCAAGAATGTCTTTGCTTAATGTTTTTACCAATGTGTCCTCACAACAACATGTGGAGATATTGAATGTTTGAGAGGAATTCCAAATATCTTTAAACAACAGTTGTTTCATGTTTACGATGTGACAGTTAAAACCTATCTTTGCACACAATGTAACACCCCAGAAATACTTTAATTTTCCATTAAAAGTACGCTGACAATAAATATTATTATTGTTTCAGAATATTTTATTCTCATGATTTTTATGACAAAAGGAATTGGCATCAGGCATAGCCTATGAGAGCCCTTACCTTGCTATTATAAACAAATATACGCTTCAGTCAAATAGTGAAAGATTAATGGTGATAAATACTTAAAACTAATATTATTAGTGGTAATATATGTATTATCCAAATAACAAAACACATATTTGTTTTACCAGGTGTCAGACACAGTTGTAGAGCCTTACAATGCTACACTATCTGTTCACCAACTCGTGGAGAACACAGACGAAACATTCTGTATCGATAATGAGGCCCTCTACGATATTTGTTTCCGGACCTTAAAACTGACCACGCCAACTTATGGGGATTTAAACCATCTGGTGTCCGCAACGATGTCAGGACTAACGACATGTCTTAGGTTTCCTGGGCAACTGAACGCCGACCTACGAAAACTTGCCGTCAACATGGTGCCTTTCCCCCGTCTTCACTTCTTTATGCCAGGTTTCGCCCCTCTCACATCACGAGGAAGCCAACAGTATAGAGCACTCTCTGTTCCTGAACTTACACAACAGATGTTCGACGCAAAAAACATGATGGTAGCCTGTGATCCTCGGCATGGGCGCTACCTTACCGTGGCAGCCATGTTTAGAGGGCGCATGTCAATGAAAGAGGTAGACGAACAGCTGTTGAATATCCAGACCAAAAACAGCAGTTACTTTGTCGAGTGGATCCCTAACAACGTGAAGACAGCAGTGTGCGACGTTCCACCTCATGGTCTGAAAATGTCGGGCACCTTCATCGGCAACACGACAGCCATACAAGAGATTTTCCAACGGATTTCGGAACAATTTACAGCCATGTTCCGTCGTAAAGCTTTCCTTCATTGGTATACTGGTGAGGGTATGGACGAAATGGAGTTCACAGAGGCGGAATCAAATATGAACGATTTGGTGTCTGAGTATCAGCAATACCAAGATGCCTCTGTTGACGATGAAGAGGAATATGATGAGGAGGAAGATATTGACGACGAGTGAAATATGCTTGATACGAACATTGTCTTTATTATACTAATTAATTCATTTTGATATAAGATCATTAAAGACTGGTTATCAACTATGACATTTTACAATGACACTGCCTTGCTGGTGTGCGCCTTAATGTTGTTTTCTTCTTTTACATGTTAAAATATAATGTCACATCTATTTATAACAATACCATTTTTAATTGTTCAATAATTGTTCTTGTTTCGGGTGAAACATCTTACAATATATTCATTAAAATTGTTCACTGTTAATATTGTGAATTTTATAAATATGTTGTTAAGATAAATATTGAACGTTTACTACCTGGCTGTGTTGTTCTTTAGTTTTTTTTATTTCTATGTCAGGATTTAAATTCAATAAAGAACAAAAACACTAGATAATGTCTTTTAATCTACACGTGAAATATTTATAAAACATTCCGACATTTGTTTCGTAAATTGCAAAGGATCGCCAAACAGTGTCAACATAAAATTTCTTAAGATCATAAAACTAGTCAAAATATGAATTTCTTATTAACGTTGTCAAGCATACTTAATGTCTTATGTTTAAAAGGGTCATGTGAACAAGCTTGGCGATGCTCATTAAGTAGTAATAATTAGAAATCTATACAACAAAACGTCAAAATGACATTAATTGATGTCAGATTAAAGTAAACATATATTAAGAATCTACAAGTATTTGCTTACTTTTTAGAATTAATGTTTCAGAAAAACTCACGATTGCCTTTATCTGTGGAACATCATCTTACTTCGAATAAAGTTAGTCATCCAAAGTCACCTTTGGTGTTTCGTTCTGACGCCTATAATGTATTGATCGAATATAGTTTTGCACATTTACAGGTGATACGATGATTTCAACACCAAAGAAAATTGATGAATTATATTGAACTACCTTGCATTAACATATTCGTGTTATGATTGTGTTTATATGCATACTTATGAATACCTTATATAACTTATGATTTAACAGTTATATAACGCATGTTATATTCAGAGGTAATGTTCGGCCTACATCGCAAAAATAGCCTGTATATAAACATCCAGCCTGTATAATTTGCCATGTCGACAGTCAATTAGTGTCCGTAATGTGTATATGCTAGGCTATGTATAATTGTGAGTCACGTTTCGGTTAGAAGCAAATACTTTTCGAATTGAATTACAAATGCGAACATCTGACCTTTTTGCAAATATATGTACTATACAGAAATTTACAAATAGTCAATCATATTGAACGACAATAAAATAAAAAATAATTCGAGCTCTTGCGAAACGTTGCAAGCATTACAAATGGTAACTTCGTCACATAATCTAATATAACGATAAACAAACATATCTTTATAATGTCTAATGGCTAGCATTTTATACACATTTGATATTGAGTCAGTGGAGGTTCTGAAGCTTACGCATGTATAAGATTCTTGAACATTTTTCAATAAAAGTGAAAAGAAAAGAATATCTATCAATTGTGTGAGAGTAAAAGAGTAAATTACAATGATATGTTTAATGTTTGATAAAAAAAGGGAAAGAAAGCCATGCTGCCGACATGTATGATTTTGAAAATGATACTTTTTTATTCTGTCACGCTTATGTGTTAATCAACTCTTATAGTTTGAGATATTGATCTTAAATTACATAAAATGTTATAAAATTAATCATCCGGCTTTTCGCTGACTATACTGGTATTACTCATCTCTAAATATAAATATTACAAACCTCATGTCAAGTTTGTATTTTTTAAATTCTTGTTAGTTATTATGTTTTTATCTATAAATGCACTTTTAAAACAAAGGAAAGAAAAAATGCAAGCACATTATTAACTGTTAGTTGAATTGTTTGAGGTTTGTGAAAATTTTATTCAGTATACAAATTGACATATTACCGCATTTATGTGCAACTGAACTAAATTACAGAGTGTAGCACTCACTTACAAATATAAATTTCATCAATCAATTCCAAGATAAGATACTATTTTAAGCACACCTATGAGTTACGTTTATGCAGCCACTCTATCATACTGCAGATTTAACCTTTTAGGACACTTAAACGACACTAGGGATCAGAACTGTGGAGCATATTGAAAACAAAATCAATATATGAAATGCAAAGAAATCGTTGAACTTGACTACCGTTTATGAATGTCAACTACAGTTACCTCTCTCTGCCTTGTAATTAGTAATTTGTAGGCTGCCGGATCCCTGATATTACTAGATTAGCTATAATTAATCATACATAGCATATGCTTTGTTTTAATTTAGCTAATACCCTTTTCAGCGGAAGTACCGTACAACTTAACGGTTCTATATGAAATACATTTCATATCGTTTATAACAATCGTTTATGTACGTGTTAACTTTGTCACAAGCGTTGATAATGCATTTGTAACTACATCATATTTCTCCAGAAATGCCACAGGTGTAAGGATCAAAATACCATGAAATGCTGTATATATCGTGTCTTTTAAGTGTAACACATTATTATAAACACAGTGTGTCACCCTCCAAAAGAGCGAAAGTAACTTGATAAATGTCAGGGAGCATTGTTAGGTTATTTCTCGTAAACATGTATTGTACGTAGTAAAATAACAAAGTTCAATGACATACTGCTTGTGGTCACTAGAATCACATCTCTCTTTTTGTGATTCATACGATATGCCATAGGCAAATCTACGTTTTCAGGGAAGAGAAGAATGTTTTACGTCATGCTTGAACTCCAAACGCAAAAAACAAGTAAAAATATCAACAGGTTTTCCCGAGGGCAGAGTTTTCAAGCATCATAGTTTAAATACGACATTAGCATAACGAAATATGTAACATTATAAATGTGCCATAAGATGAAAAAAAAACAATTGTTAATAAGTATTATTCTTATGTAAACCCTGGTTAATGTGCCGTGCTTTCAATGATTAATGTATGCACGCCTTAGATATTAACACATACTCAGACATTGTTACACGTATTCAGACATACAGCTAGTCGCTTTAAATATTTAGGTATACTACCTAGAATTATATATACTCTCAAGTGACAGACTAAATTTGATTAAAATCAAATTAAGTCCATAACAGTACAGCTTTAAGTATCTTCCGTGGACATGACAGGTGTTTAAAACGATATGGGTCATTTTTAACGTCATGTCTTTCAGATTGATATTAAAAGAGGATGCTACTTTCTGTCGTCAATGACAAACTGCCTACTACTTCAAAACCATTTTGACATTGAAATGTTTTTAATTAAATGTATGGATATTTTAATTGAAGAATTACGAATGAATCATTTGTACTAGACTCTTTATTTTAATTCAATCATTCGATATAAGGTAAAAATACAATATACAACAAACGTAAGTAATCCCAGATATATACTATATGTTAATGATAATGTTAATATTAATGTAAAAGTAACGTTATTTGCTCGTTTAACGAATTGGTGGATGATGCCTCGCTCGTTGGCAAAATTGTCCATGTCTACGTATGGCAAGCACTGGTGCTATTAAGCGAGGACGTGCAGGTGATTGAGGACAGGTAGGAATCAATCTAGGTATCTATGCAAATGGAGGTGAATTCGTATGGTGTAAGATGGGTTGGGAGACATAAATGTGTTTGGTAATGATTTAAAAGAGTAAAAGAGGCCGAAGGTGGTGAATATCTGTGATGTGGATTCTGGTGGAAATGGCGCGTGTTTGAGAAGGACATGGCTTGTGAGATAAGAGTAAAGACAGATCTAAACAAGGGGAAAGTGGATGTGATGAAAGGATAGTGGTGGAAAAGGAAAGAAGTAATACATGTGTTTCATATGGAAGCAATACTTCACCGTGTTTAATTTGTGTAGATAGTAGACATGCGCAGAATAAAATAAGAGAATTAGGAGGGTAGTACAAAACAGACTGTGGCAAATATTCGTAGTTGGAGGATAGAATATATAGTAAATGGATGTAGCTGGTGGATAGCAGTGATTTGCAGGAAGTGAAAGAATAAATGAGTAAAGTATGGTGATATTTCATAAAGGTAGACTAGAAATTAAAGTTAAAGGATATGGAAGTAGAGGAAGGGTATTTATAAACGAAATATCTGGTAAAGGGAGGGTAAATGAGAAAATGAGACAAAGAGACAGAAGTTTTTAATCCGATGTAAGAAAGTAAGAAAGACAATTGTATTGAATAGACGCGGTAGGAGAGACTCGGCGTGATGAGAGATATTGTAGTATTAACTTGGCATGGTAACAGAGATTATAGTATTTAATGAGCGTGATAGAAGAGATTGTGGTATTCAGTGGTCGTGGTAAGAGAGATTGTGGTATTTACTGGGTATGGTGGGCGTGGTATGAGAGATTGCAATGTTTACTTGACATTGTAGAAGAGATTCCCAAATTTCTCTGACTGTGGTAACAGAGGTTAAATTATTTATTAGGCGTGGTAAGGGAGATATGGGAAGCCATCAGGCGTCATTAATGGGAGAGATGGGAACGAAAGGAGCGTTTCATTTGTATGTTTGGATAAAATGGAGAATGGGTAGATGAATAACAGAAATAAAAAAAAATGTGGTAAGATAGACAGAACAGTTTAAAGGTTACAAGACACATAGGAATATCGAATGTTAAATGTTCGAGAGGGGTTTAGTGATACTGAATGAGTCTCGACTAAAAGGAAAAGGTATTTTTGCAAAGTTGGAGGGCGTAACACATACAACAAAAAATCCTCATTAAATACAGAACATAACTCAACCCAATTTCATGTACTGTTTTTACCTTTTGTAAACAAAGATGTATGTTTCCATTGCGCCTCCGTCCATACGGTAATGAGTCAGCAAGTCTGATGACTCGGTGCAATGCAATGAACGACAGCCCAGAATCCAACACATAGCCTTACTTTATTGGCAACAGGTATATGACATTACAATCTTTTAACTAGTTTTTGTATTGTATATGTTTATATGAACGTAGCACACACATTGTTGAAGCATCATTTGGTTTTTTTTTTTTTTTTTTATTTTTTTTTTGTTTTGTTTTGCTTTTTTGTATTTCACTTCCTTGTATGTAATAACTTTTTAGAATCATATAAAACATTTTTCAGCTACTTTCCTTTCTCGTATATCCATTTTAATTGAAATAAACATATTATTGGAATCAAAACTCAACATAACACAGCACTTTCATCTCTTACTGTTTTTAAACATTTGCAGGTTTCAACATACACCTCTATTGCATTCATTCGTTCAAAACTGAACATCGATATTGACATTCGATTGACAAGACATCATTATGTAATATGTTGACGAATGATATGATAAGAAAGGAGTACCAAAAATCAATTATTATCCGTGTGTAAAATGCTTTTCTTTTTCTTCTTCTTTAAGGATAGCTTGTGTCATTTGATGTCGTTGTAATGAGCATTCGTCACACTAAGAACCAACAGTAGTGTACATGTATATATCAAGGTTAATAAAAAGTAGCTACTATTGACAGACATCTCTGTGTTCATAGACAGTAGTCCAAGCAAGGATAATCAACTTCAATATTTGCCAAGGCGATAAACGTAATTGGCATACTATGTATTTAAGTATGATAAATCAGGGATCAAATGACACAGTCAACACAATTGAGCATATCTTAAATGGTTTAAAAAAAATGTTTCACACTGTCTGATGATCGGAATTCATAACATGGACGAGGTCCGGATTGTACAAATATGTGGAATGTGTATTCTTAATTCCCTGAACGAGTGCACGCAATCTAATAACGTCTTTACTCTAACTTCCTCTGGCTTCCGGGGTGGTAATATGGTAACGAAGTAGGCATGAATACGTTTTTATAAATTTTCTCTAGAGTTCTGTCGCATCAACTTCTTAACACGTATTGGTGGAACGGGAGTCTGAACATTATAATCCTCGTTGTCTATAAATGCATTATTGACGTGAAAGTTAGGAATATAACGATTCCTGTCGGGAAGTTCCATAATGTTGAGCAAAGGATTTTCATTTGGTTGGATATTGGATATTTTTTCATCTGATTCATAGTTTATGTCTTTGTCAAAGACTGAAGTTCTACCTTCCCCGGAAGAAGGATTATTTAAATCAGACGTGAGTTGTCTTTCCCTTCTCTGATTTATGTTATCTACGTCACATTTAAGTGCGCACGTATGACAGTTTGTACTCACTGATTTGTTTGTGACGTCAACACTTTTACCATCATCGTCAAAACTATAGACACAGGTAGGGTACATAGACTTTGCTTGATCAAAATTAATATTCAAGTCAGATGTTGTCCCTAAGTTGTTCTCCTGTTGAACTCGTCCCTCTTCCACACGCAAGTTTATGTCAGAGTTAACATCCACGTCATCCTGGTGGTGAATGCACGTTGGACATTGTGGCGTTCCCGTTAAATCGTTCTCGTGTGAAGGGGAAGTGTTCTCCCCACAGACGATGTTATAATACCCGCCGGTGCGGCACACGTCCGGCAGGTCGACTCCACTAGAAGTCGCACTATTTGGTGTCTGTGGAATGACATCCAGGCCGGGACGATTGTGGTCCCGCTCTGTAAAAGACTGTGATTGTGTCTGGGAGTTTTTGCGACTTCGATTGTGGTTACGATGGGACCACGTAGATGACTTTGAAACACTCTTACTTACGTGTTTAGAACTCAGCAACTTTCTAGACAGAAGTGGTGTTGAGTCTTTACCGCCAAAGAAGCCCGGCGATGGGGTGGCAGACGCCGGTGTCAATATGTTGGAGTCTACTGATATCTCCCGACACAAAGGACGATTGTTGTTATTGTTTATTTTCAACTTCAACACATCTTTCATTTTCTTCAATCGTGTTTCACTCCGAGCTTTGCTGGACAATCGAGTGCCTTGTGAAGATGTTTTCGGATCACAGTCTTCAACAATATTGTGAACAGAATCCGATATCGTAGAAAGTTTTGTGTTGGACATGGGATCTTCGGAACTCACTTTCGATTCATCCATATCAATGGACGTTGTCGAGGAACTAGTGGACGCCGATGTCTCACTATGGGGCGACAAATGTTCTCCAGCGCGTTTCTTCGGTAATGAAAGTTCAATTTTCTTCCAGAATTTCTCAAGTCTTTTCGAATCCTCTTCGCCTGGCCATTCTATGTATGTCACCGTACTAAGGATAGTTTTAAGGTTTTTGTCTAGTGTTTTACATTTCGATACATCTTCCAGAACAATAGGTATTATTTTGTGACGCATCTTCAACATTTCGTGCTGCGCTTTCTGATACTCCATGCGGCACCATTCACTGTTTATATAATTAGGAGTAAGGATCATGATAGTCCTGCGGCTCCTCTCTATTGCTGAAATAATGTTATTGGCGATAGCTGAAAATAAAACAACAACACACCTTCATACATCTGTACGGGAACTTATATTGGAAGATAATGATTCCTTATACAGCTTACATCCAACGTAATATTTCTTTGTAAGTAAACGTTTACTAATTAGATGAGAACATCAAACACAGATCTATAATATAACAGACAATTAAATTCAGCAGTTGAAAAAAAGGCTCAATGAGGATAAATGGGTTATTTCACGGATTAGCATGACCCAACAACTATAGAAAGACTGAGCCGAAGACTTGGTCTTTGTTGGAGACAATTAAACAAAAACAATAACTCCTCTAGCTACTACTGAAGATGGAAGGATTCAGTTTAACGATTAAAACGAACGAGAAAAGACTCAATATATACCTTCACCCGGCGTAAAGTCTCGAAAATGCATGCACACTTTGAATCCCATTTCCATTTCCAACTTTGGGTAAAGCTTGGTGAGGACAAACTGTTCATCCTCTTTAGAAGATTTGTAAGATATGAAAGCGTCATAGATTTGTCCGTCTGAAATTAGCAAAATACATTTTCAGAACACACCATGTTTGTTTTCAGGTTATATAAATAAAAGCCGGAGAGCTGTGCTGTGCTAGAGTGTGATTTATTTATTTATTTTCCCTTATTTTTTCAACAAAAACGAAATATTTGTTTAATTCGTATTAATTACGATTGCTATCCCAAATAGAAGAAGCGCTCAAGGTGTTTTTATGTGGTTTATCATTTCGATGTATGAAACATAGATATGTTGTCCACCTTGTCATTCTATATCCACTAAAATACAATACTCTCCATATCATATCTTCAGTTAACATCCTGTTTCTTTACGATAATATTTATTTCTATTTTATCCATGTATTTCGTTGTATTTACGCTGAACTGAAAATGAATTATCTTCTTGGTGAACAAGTAATTTTTATTATTTGCGTAGAAAATATTTCTGAAAAATACTGAAATGAGATTACCATTTTCCTCGTAGTGTTGAAAGTAGTGCACGATCTTCATGATAAAGACGAATCGCCGCCGCCACATGAAGTAAGTGATGAGGCAAACGATGATTGTGAAGAATACAAGGGAACCAATGGTGAAACCAATCACATATAAATGTACAGAGGTGTCGTCTTCTTCTGTAAGTAAAAAGGAAATACATGTAACACTTCAATTCAACAATATATAAAGGTAACAATACAAATAAACAATATGTACAGGTAACAATAAACTCAACAATATGTACAGGTAACAATACAAATAAGCAATATGTACAGGTAACATTAAACTCAACAATAAACATAGGTAACAACACAGCTTAACAATATACACAGATAACACTACGACTCAACAATATATACAGATAACACTACGACTCCACAATATATACAGATAACACTACAACTCCACAATATATACAGATAACACTATGACTCCACAATATATACAGATAACACTACAACTCAACAATATATACATATAACACTACGACTCAACAATATATACAGATAACACTACTACTCCACAATATATACAGATAACACTACGACTCAACAATATATACAGATAACACTACGACTCAACAATATATACAGATAACACTATGACTCCACAATATATACAGATAGCACTACGACTCAACAATATATACAGATAACACTACGACTCCACAATATATACAGATAACACTTCAACTCCATAATATATACAGATAACACTACGACTCCACAATATATACATATAACACTATGACTCCACAATATGTACAGATAACACTACGACTCCACAATATATACAGATAGCACTACGACTCCACAATATATACAGATAACACTACGACTCCACAATATATACAGATAGCACCACGACTCCACAATATATACAGATAACACTATGACTCCACAATATATACAGATAACACTACGACTCCACAATATGTACAGATAACACTACGACTCAACAATATATACAGATAACACTACAACTCTACAATATATACAGATAACACCACGACTCCACAATATATACAGATAACACTACGACTCCACAATATATACAGATAGCACTACGACTCCACAATATATACATGTAACACTATGACTCCACAATATATACATATAACACTATGACTCCACAATATATACAGATAACACTACGACTCCACAATATGTACAGATAGCACTACGACTCCACAATATATACAGATAGCACCACGACTCCACAATATATACAGATAACACTACGACTCCACAATATATACATATAACACTATGACTCCACAATATGTACAGATAAAACTACGACTCCACAATATATACAGATAGCACCACGACTCCACAATATGTACAGATAAAACTACGACTCCACAATATATACATATAACACTATGACTCCACAATATGTACAGATAGCACTACGACTCCACAATATATACAGATAGCACCACGACTCCACAATATATACAGATAACACCACGACTCCACAATATATACAGATAACACTACGACTCCACAATATATACAGATAACACTACGACTCCACAATATATACAGATAACACTACGACTCCACAATATATACATATAACACTATGACTCCACAATATATACAGATAGCACCACGACTCCACAATATATACAGATAACACTACGACTCCACAATATATACATATAACACTACGACTGCACAATATATACAGATAACACTACAACTCAACAATATATACAGATAACACCACGACTCCACAATATATACAGATAACACTACGACTCCACAATATATACAGATAACACTACGACCCCACAATATATACAGATAACACTACGACCCCACAATATATACAGATAACACCACGACCCCACAATATATACAGATAACACCACGACCCCACAATATATACAGATAACACCACGACTCCACAATATATACAGATAACACTACAACTGCACAATATATACAGATAACACTATGACTCCACAATATATACAGATAACTCTACGACTCCACAATATATACAGATAACACTACGACTCCACAATATACACAGATAACACTACGACTCCACAATATATACAGATAACACTTCAACTCCACAATATATACAGATAACACTATGACTCCACAATATATACAGATAGCACCACGACTCCACAATATATACATATAACACCACGACTCCACAATATATACAGATAGCACCACGACTCCACAATATATACATATAACACTACGACTCCACAATATATACAGATAACACTACGACTCCACAATATATACAGATAACACTACGACTCCACAATATATACAGATAACACCACGACCCCACAATATATACAGATAACACTACGACCCCACAATATATACAGATAACACCACGACTCCACAATATATACAGATAACACCACGACTCCACAATATATACAGATAACACCACGACTCCACAATATATACAGATAACACTACAACTGCACAATATATACAGATAACACTATGACTCCACAATATATACAGATAACTCTACGACTCCACAATATATACAGATAACACTACGACTCCACAATATACACAGATAACACTACGACTCCACAATATATACAGATAACACTTCAACTCCACAATATATACAGATAACACTATGACTCCACAATATATACAGATAGCACCACGACTCCACAATATATACATATAACACCACGACTCCACAATATATACAGATAACACTACGACTCCACAATATATACAGATAACACTACGACTCCACAATATATACAGATAACACCACGACTCCACAATATATACAGATAACACTACGACTCCACAATATATACAGATAACACTACGACTCCACAATATATACAGATAACACTACGACTCCACAATATATACAGATAACACTATGACTCCACAATATATACAGATAAAACTACGACTCCACAATATATACAGATAAAACACTCAAACTAAAAGTATATTGCATGGTAGTTTAGCTTATTGCATGGTAGTTTAGCTTATTGCATGGTAGTTTAGCTTATTGCCCGGTAGTTTAGCTTAGACGTTGATAAAACTCGATAATAAATATAAACAATATCCTGTAAGTAGATTTATCTTTCTCAATATCTGGAGAAGTAATTCTACTTTACCATAATTTCACTTGTAAAAGATGGATATAAATAAAACAAAATCATCAACAATTGTACTTTTGAATACAATAAACAAATAAAAAAAACCTCAATAGTTATGATATTCCCGCGACTGAAGTGCTAAGTTACGTTTCCATGGTCTTTCAATACCACTTTACAGACTTGGTTTGTAACAGAAACAACTTTTTTCCTGTTAAGAATGAAGTACAGTAATATCGACAAAAGACAACGGGTTAAAAAAAATAGATACAGAAAAGACGCCACATTATCAAATTAAATTACATCAGTGTTGCAGTGCATAACAAATGAATACTGCGATAGAGAATCACTATAGTAAGTGGTAAAAATAGTCACAAAATTCATATATAAACAACACTTCAACAGAGAAACAATACAGAAGTTATAGTCAAAATGGTTACATAATACGTCACATTGATAGACAATGTTTTAACAGAGAAACAATACAGAAGTTATAGTCAAAATGGTTACATAATACGTCACATTGATAGACAATGTTTTAACAGAGAAACAATACAGGAGTTATAGTCAAAATGGTTACATAATACGTCACATTGATAGACAATGTTTTAACAGAGAAACAATACAGGAGTTATAGTCAAAATGGTTACATAATACGTCACCTGTATACCACAGTAATATCGCAATATTGCAGAAACAAGTTACCAATCTTTACCGAAGGTAGATATCGAGCAAATGTTCAAAACGTCCGATAATTTATCTCTATATTTATTTCTTCTTGATTTAGTCATGCGAATTTACCTTAACTTCACTTATATTTTAGCGCTTCAATAAATCCAGCACTTTAGCAGAAAGCAGAATTTTGGCGTCCTGGAACATAATCATCTTTCTTATGACAGGTAATCATCATCCAGGTGTATCTTATACCACATACATTCAACAGATGAAAGTTTATTTTTGTTGACAAGGAAAATATTTTCAAATCTTACAATACCCTAATGTGAAAGTGAAGATATTTGTTCTTTATCTTAATCAATTTCAGTTTGTTATCTATATTGATGGACATTATTTAATCAATCGATTTAAACGATATGAATATGTGTATCAGCTTTGGTATGGACTTTAAAACAAAAATACAAAGTTTTACAGAAGTGAATTAATTTCTATGCGTAATGATTTTTTGAATATTGAAATTCATATCCCATAACACTATATTGCTAGAAGGTATCAACACATAACAACATCAGAAACCGCTTAGAAAATTGTTCAACTTTCGAATTTGATTTTGACTAGACAACAGGAGGATGAGCAATACGCATTCACAGTTTTTCTTATACATATAATTTGAAATTTTAAAATTGAACGCTTTTGAACTTGAATTGTTTTCCCTTACCAAATTTGTATATTTTGTTATCTAATTAATAATAATTAAATACATGATATACTTATTTGTTGTGAAATGTTGTATTTAGAATTAATTAAACAAATAAATAAGTAATATACTTATAGATGTACACAATAAGTGAAGAAGACAATAACACACCATTAGGTACTGTTATGTGTGCAATATGGCATAACAAAGGGAATTAGGAGAACGATGATATACATTTAGATAGCGAATCAGTAAGTGGGATAGAGAAAGTATGTACATACAGACAAATAATAAATAGTAAGTTTCATCACGGACTTAGATATAGATTTATGATTTAGTCTGTATTTTAACAGAGACAATATGTAGTCGTAGTTAGTATGATAGAGACAAAAAGTAGTTAATAGGTGTGGTAGAGATAATAAGTAATTAACTAATATGTGTTAAGTGTGCTGGAGATAAATGATACTAAATGATACATAAGTAAGTATATCTATATGTACTAAACGCGTATTTGTATGATTAATTATGAAACTTAAGTGCTAAGTATCAGAAAAACAATAATCTGTTAAATAATTTATGTATATAGGAAAGACAATGTCTACAAGTACATGTACACTAATTAAAATGTGATAAAGATAATATACTTAAAAGAAGTAGCGGTTAGTATGGTGAAGACAACAAACCATTGAATGAACAAATATTACCGTAAGTATATATAAGACAATATGTTATAATCAGGTCAATAGTAAGTAGTGATTTCAATAACGGCAATCGACACGTGAAACAATTATGGCTTATTATGAGGAGGCAATACACAGCAGGTAAATATTAACGGACGACAATGACGGAGACAATATGTCGCAGTTTGTTTAGTGACCAGTGACACATTCATGACCTCTGTGACAGATCGCCCTTAATACATGACTGTTTGTTAAGCACAGAGCGTTGATTGTTTACGTTAATTATACTACGTATTAAGTGAAGTATTTCACCATCGCTGTTGTTATGGTGTCACTTGCAAAATGTCATATAATTAAGAATTTCATCTTATTTAGGACATTTATTTAAGATGTCAAATACTAGCAGCACATATGGAAGTCATCACTCTGACTAAACCATGCCTTATAAAGGTGTGGTCCCTGTGTCTTGATGGAGTATAACAGAGAACTAGATGATATAGTCTATCGTGTCCTAACAACCCAACCGAGACATGCCTTGTTTATAACGTATTGTTGACAGAAGCAATAATTGTCATTTTATACACAATATATCAGTTGAAGCCTACTAAAATATTTATCTCAGTTAATACGTTAAATATAGAAATGAAACGGTAATTTCAAAATTGCACCTGGTTATTTTGATATGTAATTTATAAATCTTACATGTATTGTGAAATACTTATATATCACGTCTCCGTGATAATTTGAGAAATTACATTTAACATTTTTAGAAAAAAAACAAAACACGTTTCTATTTTACGAGGAAATATCACAATCAATAGCACATAGGGACACGGATATCTACATACAAATATATATATATATATGGTTTTGATAAATAGATTACCTTTAGTGAACTCTGGAAGGATTATCAAATCCTGACATCGGTCACCTTCATAGCCAGCATCGCACAGGCATACCATGGAAGTTTTATTCTTGTCGCGATGGCCGCAGGAACCACGTTCTCCACAGTCCAGCTCACATGCATGTTCACACAGCGTACCAATCCACCCCTTATCACAGAGACATTTAATTCGGCCCTTCCGAAGTTGATCTGGATCACAGACGCCATGTTTACACCGAAAGCCTTTGCTGCATTCTCCTCTGACCGCCATCGAGGTATTGTCCACGGCGGGTAGGATAAATGGTGATGACTCCTGAAAACATCTATACACACCACCATTCAATAAACACTGTCCAGTTTGACACGACTTCTCACACACTGTTTTAAGAGATAGCGGATTTACCGTCGACACTTCTGTCAATTTAGCATTGTTCAATGTATTGGATGTGCTAAGTACGGAGCTAGTCGTATTAACGGTACCACCAATTTTAGTATTCTCCAAAGTATCCTGAGCAGTGCTATTGGTAGATTCGAATTCAAAATTCGTTATATTGTTATGCATGATTTCCATTGTAGTGTTATTTGGTAAACCAATTGTTTTGGCGTTCGATCTAACATTGTTAGAAGAATTGTCACTTGGCTTTCTTTCTTCTTGTTTATTTACGTCGTCATTGAGTTGTGGTTGTGTGTTAGACGGTGGCTTAACTAAGGGAAATATAAATGGTGGACTCTTTTTGTTGCCATTGCGTGGTCTGAATGTTCCTAATATCATTAGCGGTCTTTTCGTTGGACCCGATGGTGCAGATTGTGACTGAGTTATCCATGGTGTTCCATCTTGTGTGTTATTGCCACCTTCATTTTCTACTTTACTCACCTTCTCTTTACACCATTTTCCTACATATCCTTCCTCGCATGCGCAAATTACATCACAGGTAGATTGATCGAGAAAACATTTCCCATGGTGACATATTGAAAATAACTGACAATAATCGAGGCATGTTTTGCCTGGCGGTCGTCCTCTTCCAGATCCCCAAAGAGGTCGTGATCCAAAATTGGATTCCGATGAAGCTATTGGTGTCAATAAACCAACAACCACCATAGCTAGGTAGAACGGAGAAGAATAATCCAAATAGCACATCATGTTGGATCACAATTCAAATATTCAGAATCATTTTGTGTTCACAATATGACAGAATACACACTCATTTTATAAAATTCCATAGAAAAACAATATCTATTTGAATATTCCTTCAATACCACAACAAACTTCCATTTAGAATGTTGCCATGCTGCCCTGTGGTGTCACACTTTAACAAGTGTTACACACTCCTATGTATTGTAAATAACGAATTACTAGTGTTTGTGAATCTCCTCTCTGCACTCCGAGCACTTCGCTAATGGTTGAGGTGGGTCATGTCTATAGTGTTCACTGTTCTGGGGTCAGAGCCACAAAATGACATAATCTATCAAAGCCTGACAGGTTCACTGACGTTTATACCATACACAGCATACAAACGAGCTACTGGGCATACTAAAACATCCCTTACACTGTATAGGCGACCTCGGTACAGGTAAAAAGGTAACAACGCCTGGCAGAGGCAGCACAGAAGTCGAGGTGAAGATTTTGTTTTATTAGCGACTGTAATAGCACAGTCTTCTAGGGTGACGAGGAGGTGTTACCGTATGAACGCGCTTGACAGATCAAGGCGCCGGACTGCGACTTAACGCGTCCGCCGTGCACATTTAGTGGGTTATCATTTCAATTACCAAAAATGTAAGATGATGTTAATGTTCTCTGAGATATCAACACCGCCATATAAGAAATTGTTTATAACAAGTTTCAGTCAGATATCATTGGGATATCTGTCAGGTCACGTTGCCACTCCCTTGGTTTATGTAAAATATTGTTTTGATTTATAATTGCTATCAACTTTAAATTGATATCATACTTTCAAGTCATATTTAGGTCCTCATTTGTTTTGTCAAAAAATTAATTAACTTTGAATGCTAATTTGATACTATAGAATAGATTTTCATGTGATTTGTTTGTCCTTACGATATATGTCTTCTAACAAATTGTCTAGCTGATCTGTTTAAGGATGTACGATGGTTTAAAACAATTTGTCTTCGGTATCAAATCAGTCGAAGAGATATGTACATAATTTTAAATATTCTAAATATTGCAAGTATTAAAAGTGCACTAAGAAAACGTTTTTGTTACATGTATCTGTCAAAAATAAAAATCACTTTGAAGACTTAAATATCACAAGTTTTACCGTTTCCAGATAGTTGCCAACCTGATTCTAGACAGTATGACAATTACATTTCGCATTATTTAAAAACAAAATTGCATATTCATGTATAAAAAGAAAACATCTTTATGTTAAGTTAACAATGTTAATTCTTATATCACCAGATTGATTATAAGTAGAAAACATTTTGGCATACAAAATCTTTTTTTTTCAATTTGCGTTCTTTGTATGTAATTGGTATTGTTCACATATTGTGAATTTGCAAAATGTTGTCAAATGAGGACTTTGCTCCCTTGACCTTGACTTCTGACCAGTAAAGGTGGAGAGTGTAATGTTATGACAAAATATTAACAACAAAATTTGATATGACATTGATTCGAAATGAGACATGATGGTATTAAAGGATATGATTACACTTCATGCGTCCCAGATCCCTTCTTAAAATGTCAGGGGCAACAAAATGATCATTTAATGCAAAGAAAACTAGATCAAAACAGGTTTTTCACAAAAGACAAAACCACGTCTATTCCTAGATATCACAAGACTTTGTTCTGCAGCAGACCTGTTTCATTGACCATGAAGAATCATCTTGAACATAACTGCGGTTTACAAGCTGCCGCACATAAAAAGGCAGAACTGATTAAATTTTGTTGATAAGTGCTTCTTCAGTGAAAAACATAATAGTTTTGTTTTCTCAGATAAGGACATTTCTCTCAAATGACACTTTATATGGACATTTGGTGTTACAAGGGTATTACTTCTCTTTCAAGCAAAATAAGTTCTACCAGAAGACTCGAAGTGTTTCTTTCAAGTTTCTATTTTTACAAAATTTTAACGTGTATTCTTATGCCTTAAATGAAAACTTGACTGTTAGTCCAGCCATTTTTAATTTGGTCCCATTACATCTAGACATAACGTTGTAATCTTACCATAGCATTCTTCTTGTCTCATTTTAGATACTCAGGTTTCTAGTATTTCAAAAACTTCAAGTATGTCTCAAATGTATCTGGGGTGTCAGTTCAGACTTGATGCCATAGTTATTCGAGTGGCAATGCCACGGACTATTGCAATACCGTATCAGAAATTCATCATCAGTGTAGAGCATCAAAACAGTAAATACCAACAAATATCTTGATGGCTATAATTGTATCTGTACTTTCAAAATGAACAGGAATATGAATCAGGAGAAAGAGAAAAAGGAAATAATATTATCAAATTCTCCTCTCGTTGGCTTGTTTTGCTTTGTTCTGATGTGTGGTATTTTTTGTTACTCATTTCAATACTGTGATTTGTTTTTTGTGCATTTTACCGTCAAACTATTTTTGCTATTAGCGCAATCATTTATTTGATATACTATGCAGTATGTCAGTACAGAACAACCGGAATCAGATATTTGATATTTGCTTTAAAGTTGTATATGTCCTATGAAAACATCACTGTCTCTGTGCGAAAAAAATGTTATCAAAATTCCAATGGAATAATTGATTAATTTTGTATTAATTCATTAGCAGAGTATCAAGTCATCGTAAAATTGTCATTATTTGCATGGGAAGCCAAAGCTAAAATAATTAATGCAAACAAACAATGGTACTTGAGCAATGTTTTGTTACATAACCCGCGCACGGTATAGTGAAATGCTGTGTGAATAGTGAAAGATTATATAAATAATATTGATACCACGAATATAATGTAATCATAACGTCTAAAATTCCTTATATACAATTCCAGAGTAACACTGTCCAGTGATCCAATCCACTGAGATATTACCTGAATACTAGACGGTTTACCTATACTATCACTCTATCCCGAAAGCATATTATATACGATATGTAGACTTGACACTGGACGTCACACGGTCTATGTGCGTCATATCGGCAAGAAAAGTGGCCGTGTTGTTTAATATAAAATAGTAATAAATGTCAACGTACGTTTTGTAAGCCAACTCAACAAAGTCACCCAGTGCCTGACCAGGGATTTCATCTACATACAAACAAACATATCGTTAGGGAGCTTTTGTAAATAAAGTACAGATCAAAATTGATCTCAAACAGAGAGAAATAAGGTTATTATTCTCTCTCAGATAGTACTTTACACATGTTGCTGAGTCAATTGCTAAATTGGATATGTTTTGTGATTTTATTATGTCTTGATTGTTGCACAAAGGTATTACTTTGAGTTTGCAACGTTCATCCTAAACGAAGCTGATTCGATTCAAACATACGAATCTGGTACTATTGTGGACCAGTTTTAATGATACGATTTTCAGTACTGTCAGGATAATTATTTTATTAATGTAAAGTGTATCATTTGTAATTGGTACATAAAACAAACATTAAAACGCGAACAGCGTAAAGACGAATACATTACAATATCATTTTCATTGTGATTCTAGTCTTTCGGACTCTTTTAGAGATTAAATTACCAACACATTTTGCATATAAAATAATGTATTTCATCCGTCGTGAACTTTCTTGTCAACTACTATTATCCAAACATCATTTCACCATAATGCTTCCTTAAATCCAATAAACAATTTCCCCATTAAAACGTCACAATTATTGTCCTTGATGAATACATTGGTGTCAGCACATCGTATGAATTTACACAATAAATAGGATGTTTGTGTTTTACAGAAAATTTTGCCTCAATGTTTAGTTTCTTAGTCTTCAGGAATGAATGCAATAATTAATCTATAATCGACATTCATCATCGAAGAAACAATCTGACTGGATATAATATCAGGACTTTTGAAAATTATTATGTAAACAATAGAAAAAATAGTAAAATCAGGAGTATACGTTCTTTATTGATCAGAAATAAACAATGAAGTACTAATTCAATTAATGATCACCACAAATCTGCCGCACTGCAAAACTATGTTGTTAACAAGGGTAATTCCAAAATAGATCAGAGAAAAATATTTACAAACGGAAAATTAATGAAGGTCAGCTATATCCATTGCATATGAAACAAGACTTTGACGATTTGCTTTCGATGGCCATATCTTGGATGACAATATATTATCATTGAACTGACTTAATATCAACTTTGTTTTGTAGCCAAAAAGATTGACCGTTTTGACTTTCATGTCCGTACACCTCAGAGAACAACGTTTCGTTGGAAGAAGAAGGCCGGCGATGAGTTATTGAATCATCTTCTATATAGAGAATTCATGGTTAGTATCTTGAAAGATAATCTATATTTTGGCACTTTTGTCTTTCTGTACTGAGGCAAAATGCTGTTTATATTCTAAGACACTGACCATGCTCCGCGCGTGAGTATAGTTCCTCACTTCAATAGATATAAAACGCAATTACGTGAATTTTCGTAAATAAACTTGGTTGTTCAAAAGAAGTCATTTCTTGAAACGGTCATTTATATTTTTAAATGAAATATTTGAACAGAAAAGAAGCATTACAATGAAATAAATGCACGTGCTAGAATAAAGTTTTTGTCAACGTATGGATTGTCGATTCAAACTTACGGATCAAGTACTCATGTGAACCGGTGTTAGTGATACGCTTTTCAGTACTGTCAGGATAATTATTTTATTAATGTATAGTGTATCATTTGTAATTGGTACATAAAACATACATTAAAACGCGAACAGCGTAAAGACGAATACATTACAATATCATTTTCATTAAGATTCTAGTCTTTCGGACTCTTTTAGAGATTAAATTACCTACACATTTTGCGTATAGAATAATGTATTTATCCGTCAACTACTATTATCCAAACATCATTTCACCATAATGCTTCCTTAAATCCAATAAACAATTTTCCTAATAAAACGTCATATTTATCGTTCTTGATGAATACATTGGTGTCAGCACATCGTATGAATTTACACAATAAATATGGTGTTTGTATTTTACGGAAAATTTTG